AAAGATTACGGAAGCCTGGTGCAGGCTCCCAAGCCGTGTCTCACAGCTGCAAGTTTGTCAGATTCACGCCTCTTTTCGGTGATCTTCCGCACGCAACTGCTCAAGACTCCAAGTTCTGCAACGTCCGATGCTCACTGCTTCGCGTCTTCGCCGGCATTTAGCCCTCCTCCTGAAACCGGCCAGAAGCAAACCGATGTGTGCAATCGACTCAACTGCTGATTTTCTCAAGCAACAATCTTGAGCACTGAACAACCTCTGTACCGCATTAGCTGATGCAGCTCCTCGCGGTCGCGGTTCCAGCCCTTGCCCTTGCCCTTGCCCTTTCCCTCGGAGGAGTCGCCACCAGCCAATGCAGGTCGGGTGGGGCGCTGCTTGGTCAGGGTCTGTGGGAACACCTGCTGAGGGAGGTGAAGCACCTCACGGAGGTACTCGATGCCCTCGTTCGTGAGGGTGTAGTAATGCCACTGCCAGCTGTAGATCTCCGACAGGTAGTTGCGGGAAGCCAGCGATCGCAGCACCATCATGACATGAAGGTTGGGGATGTCTTCCAGCTCGTTGTGCTTGCACGCCTGGTAGTCTTTCTTCACAACCATGACACCTTCCTTGAAGAGGTGCTCCAGAATGGCCCGGCGGGACTTCTTGGGAATCAACACCATGACGTCAATCCTCGCGCTTGTACAAACCAACAGCATTTGCACAGGATCTGTGCCATAAGTCGGGAGCGCACTCCCCCTAAACCCTAAACCCTTGCTACGACTTGCTACGGTGCTTGGTTCAAAAGTCAGCTGAGCAGAGGACAGGTTTGCCAGCAGCGCGCCTCGGCGAAAACGAAACATCGTGAAGTCAGCATCGCAGTTCAAGGGATGCTTTGAGTCCACGGTGCGGCCAAGACACTGCAGAAAGGAGTTTGAGTGCAGTAGCTTGAGCCAACATTGCCGAGTCACGACTATACTCTAGAACTGATTGGCAAAAGCTTGCAAATAAAACTCCAGTTACCGCTCAATGTCCAGCCCTTCTAAGTTGAGCTCAATTCGTTTTGCCACCGCGCGTCGCGTCGCTTCAGAGATATTGCCGTCCTCCTGCTGCAGCTACTCTCCAACCATCATCCCGAACAGACTAGACTTGTCAGAAGTGGCCGTCTTCGCTTAGCCTTCCTCCTGAAGTGGCAGCAAGACGCATGGGCATTGAACACAACCACAGCACAAAAACTTATCGATGCTGACCCAACCCTTTCTGAACAAGTACTGTGCGAGTGCTCGCAGCTAAAGCAGCTCCTCGCGGTCGCGGTTCCAGCCCTTGCCCTTGCCCTTGCCCTTTCCCTCGGAGGAGTCGCCACCAGCCAATGCAGGTCGGGTGGGGCGCTGCTTGGTCAGGGTCTGTGGGAACACCTGCTGAGGGAGGTGAAGCACCTCCCGGAGGTACTCGATGCCCTCGTTCGTGAGGGTGTAGTAATGCCACTGCCAGCTGTAGATCTCCGACAGGTAGTTGCGGGAAGCCAGCGATCGCAGCACCATCATGACATGAAGGTTGGGGATGTCTTCCAGCTCGTTGTGCTTGCACGCCTGGTAGTCTTTCTTCACAACCATGACACCTTCCTTGAAGAGGTGCTCCAGAATGGCCCGGCGGGACTTCTTGGGAATCAGCACCATGTTCTGGTCAACGATGTTGCTCTTGCTACGTGCTGCGCGGGACGCGGAGACCTACCCCTTGAGGTGACAAATGTTCGCGGTCATCATCGACCGTGCTAAGTTAATGCCAACAAAACCCCTGTGTCTAGACAGTCGCATTCAGATGCACCCGGGTGGTCCCGGCAGTTAGCGAATGGTGCCTCATATCATTTGAGAAAGGTGGCATCCACTTGCAGCTTCTGTCTTTTCCATCTTCCAGGTGAAACACTGCCACTGTCCTAGCTGACCATGCACGCAGCAAGCCACAGCAAGCCAGAGGCTTGTGCGCCCCGACAGTATCACTTTTGCTGTTGGATCAACTCCTTCAGCTTGACTTCATCTGCACCAACAAGCTCGCCTACCTCCGCAGGAGCAGAGTTTGTCACAGCTGAGATCCACGACACGGCAAGACGGCGGCCTGTGCATCCCCTTTGAAAACCAAGAAGGTGGGAACTGCATCGATACTGGCGGAATCAGCGATCTCCTGGGAACGTGAGAAGACCATAAAGATCCAATGCGATGAGTCTAACTCGTCCTCGGATTTGTCAACATCGACAACCACGAACTCAACGTTGCTGAATTCCTTGCATGTTCTGCCCTTTTACTAGCTGCGACTGCCGTGCAAGCTTGCATCAAGCATGATTTGGCAAGTGTCGGGGAGCGCAGCTAACTCGGAATACTTTGGTTCCATCAGGTGACATGGCAAACACCAGCTGGCGCTAAAGAAGAAGACGACGAGCCTGGCAGATTGGCTCACGCTCAAGGGCTTAGCACATGCAAGCGGAAATAAAACTCATTACAAACATGACTGCATCTGAGAACCCGACTTTTCCAGCTTCAAGCATGCGTCGAACTCTGTCTTTTTCCCGATAAGCTTCACTTTCGGCATGGCGCTGAAACAGTTTTGTGGCTTCTGTGTAGTCTGGCCAAGAGCTAAGAGTGTGACACAACTGTGGACTGGAGGTCGGCTTCAGAGTTTCTCAGTGGTTTTAGAAGCAACTCTTGCTCTGGCGGGTTGCTAGCTGCTAGCTGCGCATGGACCTACCAAGATCGGCCAAAGTTCACTCGCCGACTTCAGGGCCACTTTATCACCATCGCTTCACCGCCTGCCTATGAACGTGCACTGGAGTGGGAGACCTTTTTCCACGCTTGTGAGCGATGCATTGGGCCATGGATCCCCGACCCAGCCGCGTCAGAGGTCGTCCGGAAGCTGGGCCAGCAGAGACATCAGTGACGTGTGGAACGCAGTCAGATGCAAATTGAAGCTTCTCAAACCTCTCCCAACGTAACAACGGCGTGCCTTCAGAAGCTGGATAATGGGAGTATCTTTGTTGTAGCCACGGCGATCTCTGTGTGGTCGACTCGGTGCCCAAACAAGGCTCAAACACTCCAAAAAGCCGGCCCTTAAGCAGCCACGGTTCACCCTGCAGAAGGGATTGGGGCATATGCATGCCTGTTGGATTTGAGGGTTTGAGGCATTTCCCTCTGAGAACCCGGCTCTTCTGGCATCTGACTCGCATTCAGGCTGTAGGCAAGGACCTTGGATAGCTTCGCAATGCATGCGAAGTGCATGCGACTAGCAGCTAGCAAACTGAGCATCAGAAAACACCGGGGAGCCAACATTCTTGGACGAATGCCACCTGCTGTGCCGCATCATCACGTCATCTCTGTCTCGGTACTTTCCGAGGAGCAGTTTGCAATCTTGCCTCAAAAAGGTCACTGTCGCAGGGGTGAGATCCTGGTAGTACCTTCAGATCCATGCTGCTGCACCGACTTGGTCTGTGACTTGTCTGCTTCTGCCCTCCTGCGTAACACTAGCAACGGCAGTGTTCTGGGCCAGTTCTGGGCATCCGGCGGGATGGCCGTGTTGGAACCCATCAACGTGAGACTCCTCTCACCTCGTGCTTTGTCGACGCTCGACGAAGAAGAACGCGCTGAGGCGTCTGAACTTGCCCCGCCTGCCCCAGTACCCCATGCAATCAGCGAGCCATTGTAGTTGAAGTCTACATTCGTAATGACCTTCCACAACACAACCACGTGTGGCTTGAATTGACCTTAACATGGTTTGTTGCAGCCCTGGTGTCTCTGGTAGTGTTTTCTAGATCTCGGGGGTCTCTGATTGGGGGAGCAAAGGAGCGTTTTGGTAAGGCGATAAGGCACGCTGGCACCTGCCCCGGATGAAGGAAGCACCTGAGGCACAGCGGCTGCCTGTGTTCCTCGGCAGTGGGAAACGGGTTGGGTGAATTTCGTCTGCACAGCGGCACGAGGATGCGACTCCAAAGTGTAAGCGTCCCCGTGGATATCATTCTGGGGCAACGGCCCAAACGCAGATGAGACCATCCGCTCCGCCTGTGCACATGTAGTGGCCTGGCGGGGGCGGCAACCACGAGAAGGCTGGAGAGAGCTTAGCTGCGAAGTCCTTTCGGATGCTGTTCACGGATGAGATGGTGAGATAATTGAGACTGCTGCATGTCATGTGTCGCCCACAGCAAGCCCCATACAAATCCTCAACTGCAACCTCAGGACAGGATGCCGTGGACGTGGAAGAACATGTGGAAAGGCGACCTTCTTACATGCCTTCCAGATCCTTCCAGGCCCTGCCTGTGGGATCACATGCCATCGAGATGGCCGTCTGAGTTCAAGGCTGAAGCTGATCTGATGCACTCAAGCACTCGTGCTGCCATCTTCTGCCAAGGTGCCCAGTTGTGTGCAATGACCTGGTCCTACACCGGAAGTGCCAAGCACGGGGCACAAGATTTGGGATCCCAGCAGGCTCCTCGCCGCTTTGGAGCGTGTGCGAGGGGAAGATGTGGATTTTGCCTGAGATGTATCCAGCGAGATATTGATCGGTCATGTCGGGCGCTGATCTCGCCTGGTGTTCCGCCAGCTGCCACCCACAAACTCTCTCCGCTCGGGGTGTATGCCATCTGGTTCACCTCTGCATGTCAGTACTTGTCCCTGCGTTGCGTGTGAAGCAAAAGAAACAGATGCCAGCTGCCTCCACGTTCAGACTCTTCGACGAGCCTGGCATGCTCCGGGCATCTTGCATCCATTCTTTGCAGACGTGCTCTTGTCCTAATACCCCTGCCTTTAACTCAAACCCCGCACTGCAACCTACAAGTATACCTCAAAGATCCTCCATCACTAAAACCTGGCCTAGCTTCAGGCAGTTGTCGCCCTTCGGAGTCTTCAGGTTCAGAAGGTAGATCTGGTCATTGCCTGTCCATGACGAGCTTTCTCCAAGTAGCCGCGAGCTATCTGCTGCTGGGCTCCCCGCGATTGCTCAGGGCTATGTTTTTTGAGTCAGGCGACCAGCAAAGATGCAGAAAGTCCTCACCAGATCTCCAAAACTCGCAGCAGGTTCGGCGGCTAGCGGCGAGGGAATGAAGAGCCCCAAAAGCGAAAGCCCGTGCGGCTTGCGAGGTCCCGCATCGAGGGGGCCGTCTTTTTCAGGTCCACGTCGAACACGGAGCTACCTTACTAGGTTTGGTTTAAGACTCAGACAAAGCTAAAAAGGTTACGCCAGGCGACAGAGGTGAGGCCCGGTTTAGCGCTAGCTAGTTTGCCAGTTTTGTTGCTGTCGGTGTGATTCTGACGGCGAGCAGTAGGAGACATGCGCGGCAACGGGTCGAATCGGATTTCAAGCATGCCGGGCTGCAGTCCCCGTTCTGCATCTCACCAAGGAGTGAAACTTGCATGATGTACACATGTTTCCAGCAGAGGCATATTCTGATCTGCTAAGCACCTTGCTTGAAGATCTGGTGTCGAAGATCTTGAACCTCAGCACCACTGTGAGCAAAAAACGCTTACGAGCCACAGGCCATAGTTCTCGTCTTCTCCGGTAGCCTGAGGACCCTTCTTGCCATTCCAGGCCACGGCGGCAGCTATGCGGGGATCGTTGGGATCCGTGCGGATGCTCATCCACCTCGGAAAATAGCACGAACCGGCAAGGCGAGCTGTGTGCCCTGAGCTCACCCTGTCAATTACTACAACGACATATCACACCGGCTGAAAGAATCTTCGAAGTTTGCATAAGGGTCCTCAACCTCCTACCAATAGCCCGGCATGCCGCATTCAGCATGAACCAATGCAGAAAGAAACCCGACAGCAGCCAAAGCCCAACAAGTGGGCTTAGGGTTGAGGGTTTATTGTCCCTAAACCCTAAACCCTAAAGGTTTTGGGTCCATAAACCCTAAGCACTGAGGGTTTTGGAGGGGATGGTTGTGCGTGTGTGTCTGTTGGTGTGCTTTGTGTGAGTCATGTACCTGGCACTGATGGCTGTGCGTTCGTGTCTGTTGGTGTGCTTTGTGTGAGTCATGTACCTGGCACTTGCATGGTGTGCTGTGTATGAGTCATGTACCTGGCACTGATGGTTGTGCGTGTGTGGCTGTTGGTGTGCTTTGCGTGAGTCATGTGCCTGCATGCCTCGGCAGGTTTAGAACTTTGATACTGTGATCGTTTTGCTTCTGACCATAACATAGAGGCTTCACCTACCACTTGCCGGCCGCTTTCGGACAAGTGCTTTCATGGCTGCCGGCCGCTTCTGGTCTCGAACCTAAAACTTGTGATTGTGGGCATTCAAAGAGTTCAGCAAGAAATTGAATGGACGAATCCATGCATTGAAGGATTCCGACATATTGGTTCTGATGTGCTTGCAACGTTTGTGCTAACAAGGACTCCATTCCTTCTTATTGCAGAAGCGGTTCTTGCAATGAATAAGATCGACGAGCCAGTATCTGATGCCCATGAAGTCTTCGTGAATCCGCTTCTTGACGAACTTCTCAAAGTGATATATATCGTCGTGTATGACGACGTCTGGCTTCACATTGCTCATGGTCATAACATCCTTCAAGAGTTTTGCCTTGTCAGCCTGACTCTCGTTGCAGATTTGCTCCTTCGCCCCTAACATGCCATCCAGCAGTCCTTTGTGGTAGTGCATAGTGCAAGGAACCCTTCCGAGCACACGAAGCCGTTCTCTCACGTTCGCGAAGCTTTGTTTGGATGTCCCGATACAGGTACAGTGCAGGGGCCGTCGGCCATGTCTACAAGCTTCCTGAGGACGCCGAAGTGACCGTCGAAGGAAATTACTTTAACATGTTCTGGGATTTTGAAGAGCATGGAGCCATCGGAGCCGATCTTCTCGCAGTGTTTGGACGGCTGATCATAGCTAAACTCGGGAACGATGCCTTGGTTACGCTTGAGGCTGATGTAGGCCTCGAGTCCTTTAAGAAGAAACGCTCGAAACATAGATTCTGGACAAAGCTGCATGGTGTCCTCCTCGTGATATATTTGTCTAACTGCGATTTCTTGTCCCGGCGAAGATTTACATCTCATGAGTCGAAGATAGCATAGTTTCAAGTAGGGAAGAGTGAAAGCCGTGTTGTTGGAAACAAAGAGGGCACGGGCATCTTCGAGACACTGGTAATTGATGGTGCTGATCTTTTGCCGACCTGGCCATACCATGTTCGGGCGAACAGACTTGCGACATCTGCAGCATACATTTCGCTGAATTCGGATAGGAACGATAGATTCGCTACCAATCAAGATTCCTCTGACGACCTCCTTATTCCCCTTCATCATGTAGAGTGCCTTGGAACACACAGGACATGTCTTCTCCGGGTACACATAGACGCCTGAAGGTGTAGATGTCGAAGTAGTAAGAAGTTTCGCAGAAGACAAAGTACCGAGTCGCTTAGAGGATGATGCCGGTCGCCTGGTAACTGCGGTACATGCAGCTGGTCGCTGTGCTGTCTTTCCTATGAGCTGTGTCGGACGCGAAACCTCATCAAACCATTCTTTCTGAACCTGTTGAAGCAGCGGCGTGTGCTGTATCTGCTCTTCATATGATGTACTCATGCAACACGCAGGGTAACATGACGCAGGACACAGCTCTTTTACTCTCTTCTGCATGCTTTGTAGTCTGCGTAAAAGGACGATCGCTGATTTCATCCTTGAACGGCGGGCCGGAGAGGGGTAAACGAAGGTACCAAGGCGAACGCGAGGAGCACCAGGAGCTGGGGCAGCATGAAGCACCACCGGGCACGAGTACCTTGTGCTGTCATCTTCCTCCGAGGATGGGGAACCTGGCACCCACCTTGTACTGGTCACTGGACTTATATATGTCCTGAAGCTTTTGGGCAAGCTTTGTGTTGACATTGTCGATGTAAGTGCTTGGGTTGCCCGCAAGTGCAAGCTCAGCTATGCCATGGAGGATAATGGACTGCTCGCAGCGCACATACTCCTCGAAAGTAGGGGGCAACTCCTCGACACCGGACTTGTACTTGGCATGGAATGGCTTGTCTCTGTCACGGAAGAGGTTGGTGTGGACATTATCCATGAGTATACGATGGATGGGGGCCGCCATGTCCTTGTTCGGGAGGCGCAGGTAGACCGTGCTTCCCGAAGGCGGAGACGATGGAACGCTGCAGTATGGCTTGAATGTCGGCTTCCTTGTACCCCACGAAGAGCTTGTGTGTGAGTTTAGTGAACTCCTCAGTAGTGATTGTGGTGCTCAGCCTGTCGGGCGGAGGCTCATGCGCCTCATCGATACCGTTGGAACCAAGAGCCTTGCGCGCGAGCTTCACATCGTTGTAACGCCCGCTGCAATTTTGGTCTTCTTCTGAAGTGAGCCAATATTTTAGGTCGGCGGCGTCGATGTTGTCCATAGCGGGGCCGTCCAAAATCAGACCTTGATGTGACTGGCCACATTTGTGTCTGAAGTTGTCTACGGCTTTGGCTCGTTTCCAACCGGGACGAAGACAAGGCTGGCCATTCTTCTTGATGTGGTAGCGACCCAGTGCAGGACTGTGGACAATGAGGAAGGGAGTCTTCCCCACCCCAGGCCATCCCAAATTACGCCGCTCATGGTTGCCAACGGGATCGGGCTGATCTTGCTCCCCTTGCTGCTCGCGAGCCATTAGTCTTACCTCTGACATGGGCCATCCCGCAATGGGAGTGCCGCTGTCAGTGCGAATCTGTGTCAATATCATACCGTTGATTCTCATCGTCCTGGTCTGGCGCCTTCCTGTTGATGTAATCGATCCCTTTGAGTAGTTCATCGTCGTCGGGAGTCCAGTGTTGTTGAGAATACGAGGCCCTGTGTATGCTTCGCTGCCCGGCAGCATATCGATCAAGCAATGGACGCTTTCCCCGAGGTCCATGGACCCGGAACAGGTGCCAATGCGATGCCAGTACACCACGCATGTGCTTCTTTTGTTTGGGTCTTTGCAGGAAAGGAGAAGATGCGAAGGAGATCAAGAACGCCGTCCTCCATGTTCTTGATGATGTAGGAAACCGTGGTACCTGGGGGCATGGACCCGCCAGGTCGCACATAAGGGGGCAAAACAAAGTAGTCTTCATCCTGGAGCGTTTCCGCACAGCGAAGAGATGATGCCCAGCTAGGGGACATTGTAGTGCATGCCTAAGATGAGGGTAAATGATTTGGATGTTTCTGCAGGTCGACACGCATACTTGACGAAGTCCGTGAGGGTAACATGACACTGTCTCTTGATCTCGTAAACTGGCGAGGGAGTAGTAGACAAAAAATAGGCTTTTCCACTGCATGTGGTCATTGCCTCAGCGAACATCATTTCTAAGGTCGCCATGCGGCAAGCTACCTGGTTCTCAAGGTGTCTCCGGGATAGGCTATATGATTGAGCCGCACTACAGTTGCAGATAACAATGGCTAATGTCCGAGACTCAGATGCAAAAAATCACCTGCACATGTAAATGCATACAAGGCAAGTAGTATTGCTGGTTATGCACAGTCATTTCTTATCACCATCCATTACCCCGTCATCGAACTGGGAAGAAACCCGTGTGCATCATCATATGTGTCGGGATCGCTGTCAAGCTGACCGTGCTAAGTCGCTGACTTAGTTATGGCTCCCTCTAGGTTTCGCTTCGGCACACGAGTCTGGCATTGGAGTTCTTCGTTTTCCCGCTCACATCCCTGGAGGTCGCTGACCAAGATGTCGATGTGGCTCTCTTTGTTCACGGGCTCTTCTTCGAGGCGGGCCTTCTCGGCCATAAGGTCCGCGTTAGCAATCTCCAACTCGATGTACTGTGGGTGCTCTGTCAGGAAGGCGTCCAAGATGACTACGGCCTTTTATGGTGAGGGCTTACCAATCTTGTCTGAGTTGCTCGAGCACACCGGGCTGTGGACCTCTGGCGGATTTGTTGTTTGGCCACTAGACTTCTTCGACTTGGAGGACCTCATGCTGGGCGACTTGCTTGACGAACCCGATGAAGAAGATGAGGACGCACGCGATCTCCTTAAGTGCTTGCTGATCAGACAAACAAAAAGTAATTGAGCAGTCTACGTTACAGATGCAATGTGTTCATAGACCATGTAAGTCAAGGTTCTCACACTTTAATTTCACATAGCCATGACTTGGTTTAGCATCAGAGGTCGGAGGGAGCATCGTCGATGGCCAAGATCTGCGTCGAGTTGTTCGTGCCCCTGTTCGGTCCGGAGATGACGGTAACAAGCCTACGCACTCCATCGGCCTTGAAACCCCGGGGGTTGAGTGAGAGCTCCCGCTGAATGTTGCACATCAATGGTGACAGGTGCCGCCGCTTGACAGCTTTCCTTCGTGGAGTTTCTGCATGAGCTCATCTGCAGCTTCTCCACATGTAAGGGTTGATGTCTCCATGGACGTTGCCACACATGTCGACGTTGGAGATGCCCTTGACATGGGAGGGGAAGTAGTGTCTGAGAGCCGTTGACCCGGAATGAAGTCATGGCGATCGAAAGAATAGGGACACTACGTCAACAGTTGAACACTCGCAAGGCTGCTTTACAAAAAGACGATCTATAGGAGACAAATTCAGTTTGGGGGTGTGCTTTAAAAGCGCTTTGAAGGCGCCCCTGGATCCAGGATCCAAGATGCCCCGGAAACTTTTCTGGGCATCTTGGGACTTGGATCCAGGTGCGCTTTGAAAGCACACGCCACAAACCGAATCTGCTCAAATACCAGGGACCCCGGGCAAGGGAGCTGCTTTTCATTTTTTTCAAACCCCAAGCACAAACACATAACAAACAAGAACAGGGAGCCACAACAAACGAAAAACCAGACAAACACACACAGAAACACACCGCAGCCTAGCCAGAACCAAGGGCCAAACACAGAACCAAGGGCCCAACACACACGCAGAGCCATCCTTGCTCCGGAGGGTTTAGGATCCCTAAACCTCTAAACCACTTCTGACTGTTGGGCGCCCGAGCTCTCCCGGCCAGCTCCGCTCCTCCTCGCCTGGCGATGCGATTCCGAAGGATTGGAGAGCCTAGAGCCTACCATAGGGTCCCTAACCATTGGATTATTAAAATAGGGAGCCCCCAAAAAAGTATAGGTACTTATTACGGCCCCTATATTATGTATAATAAGGAGACCCCCCCAATATAGTATATAGCACACGTCATTGTTAAGGACCCTATATATGATGCTCGGGCCTCTCTCGACGTCCTGCAACCGGATGCCCGGGCCTCAACGCTCCGAAGCTAAAAAAGCCGCGAGAGCTTTGTCGGGCGGCCTTTTTGCTTGGAAGCCGGCCGTCCTTTGCGGCGACTAGGAGCTTATCACCTCTCGAACTCGGAACTCGGAGTGTAGAGATCAGGCCAAAGTCAGAGAGCCGCTGGCCTGCCCAGTCCATGGCATAGAGGCTGGAACGCTTGAAGCCAGCGACATGGTCCTTCTTCACCTGAGCAGGGCCCGCAAGAAACTGAGACCAAAGTGAGGTCGATCATGAGGCGCCAACTTCGTTCTTGACCTCGGTGAGCGTCATTGCTGCCAAACGAGAATCCAGAGCCGAAGCACATCATGACACTGGCTCTGCAAGTCCTCCTTTTTTTGTTTAACCGATGCTTCAGGGTTGCTCGCAGCCATGAAACAGAGCCACGCATGGCCCGGCACCCAGGCCGTTGGCTCCAAAGTGCGGGTTGCCTGCCAAGGGCTTGTCGTCACACCGAGTCGCAACTGCTTTTGATCCATGAGATAATCCTAGACAATCAACTGTATGGCAATTGTGCAGCTGTAGGCGACGCACTTCCAACCAACTCGTTCAAAACCAACCTACATGCTTCTGGCTCCTGCAGCACGTGCAAGGCGCTACTATGCACACGATGCGGCCTCCCCAGAAGAGCATCACATCTCCGGGGCTGCACACGGCGATGCTCACCCCGCGACTGGCTAGCCACTCGGCATGTTCCTGCGCATCCAGATGCCATTTCATCAAGCTTCGTCCACTAAAGTCCTTTTTGCCCTCGCATGCTGTATACTCTGACTGAGGAGGAATAGAAAAACCTCAGCTGGTGCTCCTGCTCTATGGGCTGATCCACGTGCAAGGCAACCTGAAGGGCGGGTTCGCCAAATCATGTTGCGCTTCATTTCAATCCTCAACCTTTTGCGCAACGCCCATCCAGATTCTAGAACGCAGCCGGGAGGTTACAGTACTTGGCAGCTTCAAGAACTTGACTGAGTGACTGAGCCCTGCGACCACCCCCCATGCTTGGTAGCCGAAACCTGTCTTCGTAATTGAGTCTGGAGCCTGATGGCTCTAATATACCAGAACATGCCACAATGCAGTATAGCATGATGTAACTGAAGTTACCATACTAGATTATGACTGAATGTACTAGATCGAAACCCCTCTTCAGAGCAGACAGGCGCAGCCTCGGTGTCGGCGGACGGCCCACGAAATCCTGACTCGCGGACAGAAACGCAGACGGGGCGAGTAAGCAAACCTCTGACAAAACCAAATAGATAGAGAAAGACAAAGGCAACAAAAAACGACATGTATGCATCAATATACAGATATACGTATACATACATGTAACATACATACATACATACATACATACATACATGCATATATACATACACATATGTATGTGTGTATATACAATATACATATGTGAATACTCTATAACTATATATATATATATATATATGTATACACATACATAATGAATGTGTATATAGACATATATTAAATATATTAGGCCATTAGGTATATATGCATATATACATATATACATATTGGGGGGTCTCCTCTAACACGCTTTCTTTACAGCTTTGCTAACCCTTCTTCGGGCTACATTTACCCTTCATTTGGGGCGGAGTTAACTCTTAACTCGGGGTGGGGTTAACCTTTATTTGGGCCAGCGTAACCCTGAATTCGCGGAGTTAACACTTTGGAGTTGACCCTTTGTTGGGCCAGCTTAACTCCTAATTTGGGCTGTGCCCCAAATTAAGGGTTAAGCCGGCACGAATAAGGGTCAACTCCACCCCAAATTAAGGGTTAACTCTGCCCCGTCCACACTACTGCAAGGTGGGCGATGCGCGAGCGACATGTGCGTGCACCCAACACTCCATTGCAAGCCCCCTTCTTTCTTCCGATGTTCCACTTCTTTCTCTTCTCTGGTCTTGATCTCCACTTCACCTCCCACCACTTCACCTCCCACGCGGTCCTGAAGTGATGATGCCGTCCGCTCTCGGATCTCAGCTTGAGAGGCCCTTGCTTGCTTGCTTGCTGCGGGGGCAGAGTCTGCGCGAGCAGACCCGGGCCGAGGCCCCCCCCTTCCTACCTTTTCGGTGGAAGGAGGCATTGGGGTCCATGGTAGGGCGTTGTCCCCCTATGGTCTGTGTTACAGGTGGGGTGCGTTCGGTGCAGATCCCCCCCAACCCTGTACGCCTATCCTGCGTCCCGGCCTCATCACCGCGCCTCCTAAGGCAAACTCCTTAGTGCCTGCACCGTGCGCATTTCCCCCCGTAATCTCGTGCTTGAGAGGCCCTCTCGCTCTATCTCTTCTTCTTCAGGGCAGGAGGGGTCTGCGAAACCCCCTGGCCACCAGCCCCCCCATTGTTTGATGGGGCTTTCGAGGAGTGTGAAAGCTGGTTTTTCCCCCTGGTATGTGCCAATGCAGATCATAAGATTAGGTTGAAGTTGCAAGGGTTCAACAGTGCATCACACATGACAGTCTCTGCGGGGGTACTCGGTATTTTTGTCAGTAAGCGAAATAATATGCTCCTATGCCACCGTATACGGTAAACTCCTGTACTACTAGTAGTACCTTTCCCCCGTCCGTTGGAGCAGTGGTCGACATTGAACTGCTTTCCGATGCTTTGCACAAAAGGCCAACACGTACAGCGCACAGTGAGGATCCTAATGAAACAGATACCTCTGCGGAGCAGTCCTGTCTATCTCTCTCGCTATCTCTCTCTGGGATATCCTGTGTTGTGTCGAGCGTCTCGTGACCCATGGCTTCACGTCGTCCCCGCACGTGGCATCAACGCCGAAGATCTGGAGCAAGCGGCCACTCGACGCTGTGAATTGGGCTTCGGACTCAGCTTGCTGTGATGGCAGCTTGTCGTAAAGCCTGGCTTCTGACAGTATGCCGGAGGCTCCAGTTCTCGAGGCTAACGGTTGCTTCAGGCAACTCCCCGTGCGCTGCGAGCTTGTGGGATTGAGTTCTTCAGATGCAAGCATGCATGAGGCCTTGATGCCATGCACGACGTGGCACATTTGGACCATGGGAACCAGGTCCTGAGACGCCAAGTCTGCATCTAGCGATTGCTTGAGCATACCCAAGATGCAATGTGGAATCTTGCTTGTGCTTGTATGCAGCTTATGCTGATCGATTCAAGCGCTGCGGTGTCGGCAACAATGCCAGCCCATCCCACCCGAGCGCTCCATGTGGACGTGCGAGGCAGAACCTCCGTCTCCGGCAAAGACCTGCGATACAACTCAAGAGCTACGCTTAGCAGGATCACCGGACGATGACAGCGGTGCAAGCTGTGCTAGTGCTTGAACTGAGGCTAGCTCGACACATGGGTTCAGAAAACTTCATCGACTCTGGCACTTTAGGAGCCTATGCTGTGGTTAAACACTCAAGACGCATGCTACGCCAAAGTTAGGCACTCTTGGCAAGGAGTCCTGAGGCAGAGCATCGTTCATGCGGAAGCCATCCATGAGCCTGTGATCGTTGAGGCCAGGTCTGGAGCTTTGGAGTTCTCTCCCGCGTGATCGCATCTCGTCCCTTGGATTCAATGCCTCCACCCACCCCCCCGCCTCAGATATCAGCCTGCACCTCTACCAAGAGCCCTGGTGGGATCTAGATGGAGGCTACTCTAAACATACCTAGTACTCGTCCAAGGTAGCAGCTTGTCTTAGGGGGTCCAAGTTTCTGCATCCTGGATGCGGGGAAGCCTGGAAGTTCCGAAATCGGGCAAGCAAACAAACCGTACTACAAGCAAGTGATGATGGCATACCTACGACAACTCAACGGCTAGGGTGAATGCAGGTCACCCCCAAGCGCACGGAGATTCATCGCCCCAAACAGCAATGCCAGATCAACTGCAAGCTCTTCTCGATCCGAGAAGCTCTGACACCTTGGGCAGCAACTCTGCCGCGGCTTTTTCGGAAGCGTCGTCTGCGAGTCGGGTGAGCAGCTCCGTGGAGGCCTCGCGGTGCAGAGGAGCAAGGGGGGAGCACCCTTCTCCCGAAAAATCGCACAAAGCTTTTCCCCCCCTCACTCCCTCCGATTCATGGTGCACTGCATGTTAGAAGATTCGCACTTCAAGGCCATGAACACCGATCCAACTACTCTTGTAGCACTTGCGACCTTGGACATTTCCTGAGAAGTGCCTCAATTTTTGTACCCGTGGTTTCATGCCCTGTTGATGCTCCCTCGCCAAAGAGGCAAATCCGCAGAAAAAGCTTCCGACCTGAAGTGAAATTGAAGCCTGCGATTCGTTGTGCCGAGCTCAAGCTCGATAAGACTGCCCATCCGTCAACATCACAGTACGTGCTCCGCGCTTCTACCCCCTTTGCTGCCGCTTGCAATTGCAGCAGCCGCCCTTAACCCACAATATGCTCATCAGATTCCGCGATGGGTTTGGCATGAAGCCAAGCAGTTGTTCTTGCCACGAACAGCCGAACATTGAGAAAGGAGAGCGACCGAGCAGGGCGCCCTAGTCCTAGCAGTGCAAAGTGCAAAGTCGATGTGAGGCTTCGCCGGCTGGGCCTCTCGGATGTAGAGCGGTTCCTCCAGCACGGGCTGCGCGACCTCCAAACGTACTGGGAGGTCGGCCGCAAGAAGCTCCTCAACGCGTTCCAGTGTTGCGTTCAGCACTGCCTCCCCATTGATGGTAACCTGGAGATGAAACGGAGCAGAGGTAGCACTTGAAAGCAATGCTGGTTCCACTTGACGGAAACTGGGAATACTTTGTTTGACCATGGTGATGTATTTGTGCTATCGTTGCCAATACCTCCCAAGACAAAGCTTCTGGGCGAACCTCTTCAGGCCGAGAGTCTATGATGTCGCCAACCTTGATGCCCGCCCTATCGGCCACGCCATTTTTCCCCACGGCTTTGATGACAGCTCCCCTTGACCAACGCCGCGACATGTACTGCATGTTGAAGGGCTGCTCTCCCAGGTCAACCACTCGACCATCAGCCACTCGCGTCACTCGAGTCAGGTCAACAGCACCAGTTCCCCCCAAAGGACACACCTGAAGTAGCTCCTCGTACGTCAACTGCGGGGATTCCAACTCTGCGCCGAAAACGTCTGGCAGGGAAGATCCCATCAGGCAGGGGAACCTCAGCGCACCATGGCTGCTTTCCGCTAAAGCCACGGCTGGCCGGCACTCTCTCTGCATCAAAGCCGCAAGTCCTGTACCATCACAGTGCTTGGCAAGTCCAGTTCTTCGGCTCCTCCTGGAATCACGACCTTTCGAGCGATTTCAAGCAGCAGCAAGGGAAACCCCCCCCCAAAAGCCCCCCAGACTCGACGTTCTTCGCCGATTCGCCGAGGAGCCGGGCCCCGGCCTTCGCTGAGCCGCTCCGCCACCTCGCCCAGGCGCTGGGCATCGAAGAGGACGTAGCCGGGGCCTCATGGGAGCCATTCCTTCTGACATACTCATTTCTAGATTAGTATATTACTATATTACTACATTATTACATTATTATATTATTATGTTATTATGTTATTCTGTTATATTATATTATCGATCTGCCGCAGGCATTGTCCGAAGCCCAAAAACCGTCGGACTCGGGCCTTTCAGGGGCCACGGCCCGAGGCTGTCGCTGATGACTCGGGGCCAGCTCGGTGCCATCATACCTCGAAGCCCGGAATCCAGAACTCCGGTTGTGGCGCTCTCGATTTTTGGGGCAGCAAGGTTTAATCTGATGTCTAAGGGCTTGGGCTTGTTCATCACGGTGCATCCTCCTATCAAGAAGAGGCAAGAAGCCTGGGGGCCATCTCCACATAATGCAGGCTAGGCGCTGAAGTCTGTCGCAGGCTCTCTTGCTGGGCACAGAGACGCGAAGAGCTCTGAGTCTGACATGGTCAAGGACACCTCGGCTTCAGTGTCCTCCCACCTCGGCAGCCAAGACTTGGGGCCGGCTTCAATGTAAGTTAGTTGCTGGAATTCTCCGTGTGACGTGCTTCGCGCTTTTGCGCTTGCCAGTTAACCACAAACCGCACCAAGCTGCTTGTCCTCATCCGTAGCCTGAAGCCGCACCGGCTTCCAGTCGTCTGTGTTGTCGTCGCCCACCTGCCGTCAGGAGGCAGCACCCCACCCGCTTCAAACTTTCCAACTTTGTTGAGAGCCTCAGCCACCAGCACATCAGAGTCCCTTCCAGAAGCTCCGCGCTCCAGCAGGATCACTTTTAGCTTGAGAGAAGCCTTTGCACTGGAGTCTGCAGTGCTCTAGCGGCTCTAGCGTTCTTCTCCGATGTCTTCGACATGCCTCAAATTGCCTCAAGACATTCCATGACTCGTACCGGGTGGCATCATCGAGCACCAGCAGTGGGGCAGCTGCGTTCGCAGTTCGATGCCGAAGGGCCAAGGCACGCCCCGAGCGCCGAAGCGGAAGGAGCGGAAGACCAAGGCCAAGGCAAGCGGCGAAAGCGAAAGCGCTTTGAGTCTGGATGCTTTGCTTCGGCTTCTCTGCCTCTCGACTGCCTGCCTTGGCACGGGAGCAACTGCACATGCGCCCGGCTTGCCCAGATAAGCCAAGATGCATGTCTTCGGGCCTCTGGCCACCTTTGGACATGCAGAGACGCACCGCCGCATCCGGCACACAGGTGCGACGGGGTCCGCAGCTCCATGGCGATGGAACGAAAGGTGGTGCGGCATTCGGGTAAAATTGCAAACAAATGTCAGACGAGAACTGGCCCGGTTCGGGAAACTACCCTGGGGTTTGAGGTTGGTGTTGAAGGGAAGAGCCAACTTTTTTTCAATTGGACAAGTTGGTTAGTTCCTTAATGTTCCCTCACACTGTCTAAAGTCTAAATGCAAGATTCGCTTCGCGACTTCGTGCCTTGCTTCGTGGCCAGCTCGCACAAAGTCAATCCTCGCCTCAAGGCCCGGCCCGGATGAGAGATCGGATGCTGAGGCCAAAGCCTCTTCTCGATCTCCTTCACCTGGGGGCATCTTCCAGATTTTGGCCATTCAAGAAAACTTGGTGGTCTTCTACTGCTAGGGGTGCATACCGGCTAAATTCTGCTTGCGTGCATCCATCCATCCATCCATCAGGGATTCTACTGGGAGTGTCCTGGTCACTAGAGTGGGGACGTCGACGGGGGCGACGACGGAAAGGAGGAACTTCGACAGAGGCACACTGGTTTGCACCCGCGACTCATAGCCACAGTGCACCTCCGAAAGCCTTTCTGTCAAATTGATTGGAACTTTGCGGGCCAACCTAGTCAAGGTATGTTGAACATAATTAGCGATCGCGACAAGATGCATGGCTTCTTTGCTTTTCCAGCTCGCATATCACTAATATTTACAGGCCTGCGGATACTCAGGTCATGACGATGAAAGTGTCTGTGCATATTGTCCTCTCCTTGCTCACCATCGTTATCGGCAGCAACATGGCCGTCATCATCATCATCATCATCAAGGGGACATCGTCGTCAGTACCATCACCACCATCATCGTTGTCCTTTTCAACCTCCTCCTCCTCCTCCTCCTCCTCCTCCTCCTCCTCCTCCTCCTCCTCCTCCTCCTCCTCCTCCTCCGCAATGTCATCGTCGTCGTCGTCGTCATCGGCCCCAATCATCCTCGGTCGCACGCGCGCGCGCGCGCGGGCTTGCTTGCTGCCGGCTCCTGGAAGGCGCAAGATAAGGCATGTCCGCGATGTTGGTGATGACACTCCCTGCATGTGCCTCCGCTTCCGCGGCAGGCACCGGAACTTTCGATTTCCGGATTCGAGTAGTCGCACAGCGAGTGAGCCCCACCATGAATCAACCGCGCAAGTCGATGAATGAAGGCAGCTCAATGAGCATCCGGATGAAGTGCGTGCTGCCGTGGTAGGGCGTCATTGTAGGTTCGGATGCTTCCGGACAACCTTGGGGTCGTGATGACCTTTAGTTTCTTGCTTGTCTGGTTCCCTGAGGCAAGACTGAGCTCCACACCATCCCAGATTCCGAAGTCCTTTTCCATACGAGCATCCTCGAAGCAATCAGCGCTGTTGTTCATGGTTTGCCCAGCGAGTGGCGCTTGAGGTCTGCACAAGTCTGGACCGCGAGGCCGCGAGAGATCAGGCTGCTTTAGAGGGGTGATGCTAGCTCTGTCCTGCTACCGGCAAGCTACTGCGACGAAGAGCAGGATTACGACTGTTCCTGCTGCTACTACCACCATCATCACCACGATGACACGACGACGACGGATTTACCACCACAACCACTGCGACTGCAAAGAGCACGTGCTGATCGGCAACATCCTCCAAAGGGCAATGTCACAAAAGCTAGGTCCTAACAGCCTGAAACAGAAGGGACGAAGATTACTGTACTTCAACTTGCACTCGCTGCTACAAAAGGGTGCAAAAGAATCGCGACTGCCTGCTCGGCATAGTCCGGGAGGATCCAGGGATCCGTGAGCTCGCCTCACGTTTCGATCTGCAAGGAGTTCGACCTTTTCACGGCCGAGGGACGAAGCTGTGCCCCGGGCCTAGTTGCAAGACCTCGTCGTCGTATTCGATTTCCATGGGCTCTTGGGTGACGTCGAGCGCATCCGCCTCCACCAGCAGGGGAACTGGGGCGTCCACGGTTAAGGCGCCAATCGTCAGCTCCGCCCGCAAGTGGCCATTTGGACCGTCCAGGAAAGAATCTCCCAGCTCTATCGGCCGCTCTCGCTCTGAGGCCGCTGGGGTTTGCTCCTCGGGCATAAGCTCATCTGGAGTGGCCGCCGGCTCCCCCAGAGCCGCCGGCTCTCCTTCAACTTCTCCCTGTTCTGCGGGCTCCGCGGGCGGCTCCACGCCAGCAGCCTCTCCATCCTTTCCTTCAGGAGGCAGAACCTCTTCCTCCTCCGACTCCGGCTCCAAGTCGACGTTCGAACCCGCGGTCATCGCACCATGGCGTGCCGATGCGCTTTCTTGGGCTAGAATGAAGACCTCTGCGAATGTGGCTGGCTGCATCTTGCGCTTACCGATGGAAGGATGTCGTCCATCTGAACTCATTCTGCTTCTTGACTTTAACTATTAGCGATTACGGCTCTGCATCGTGTCACAGACCGCCGCTGTCTCAAAGGTTTCCACAGCTGTGGCTGAGTAGCTATGACCCGCAAACACGCCACCTCTAGCATCTGCTGGTCACGGAGGGAAACTAGCATGTTTTGCATGCCTGGCAAGTGGTTTCGACGTCGAGTTACAGGGCTGCTGTGCGGTACTCGTGAGGGCGGTGATGGGAGGCTTGTTTCTCGGAACAAGAAAAGCTTGTGGACGAGCGAGCTCGTTTGTGTTTACGCAGGTAAGTTGAGCAAGCACAGCAGAACTCGACTTCTCGTGATGTCAATTTGAACCGATGCTCTCAACGTATAGAGTTTATAATCTAACACCTGGAAGCAGCATCCTCACTTGAGCAGTTCGGAGCACTTCGGAAATACTGGGATGACCAGTGGCTCAGAGTAAGGAAACCGATCCGGCACAGGAGTGAGACATCATTAGCGTCATTAGCACGAGGAACCTTAGGGAGTGGCGACTTGGTTGAAGCCACATGCAACGGTCCAAGGTAAGCTGGGGGGCCGCCGCAGGTCGCCACGCTGCTACAAGCTGACCGACAGTCCACCGAACGATGGGTATCCTGGACGATTTTGCAGTGATTGTAGAGGCGTCACAGCATGCAGAACTCCGCGAAACAAAGGGTCTCCAATCTCCAAACATCAAGGACGATCCTGGCACGTTTCTGGCAGGAGCCGCGTAAAAAGCCGGCACCGGCATTGACGGTGCCGTCGCTGGGGATGTGGCCCTGGCGTTTTCAAGGGCTTCCGAGCCCACATCATGCTGGGAAGGCCAGGCAAGATCACAGCTGACCTCGGCCTTGGCGTGATGAACCGCACCGGCACAGGAAAGACTCCTCACGGCGAGGTGCAGCTCTTCCTTCGCTGCTAGTTGCTAGTGATGCCTGCAGTAAGATATTCCCACGGCAAGCTCTCTGAGTTGCTCTGAGTACAAGTGACAGCTCCAATTTCCTGCGGGAAGCCCCGGCTTTGCGCATACGCCATCCTCGCAAGCGCGGTTGCAGCTGACGTTGTGAAGTTCTGTTTCAATCCGAAATGCTGCAGCTAGTCTAGCGCCATCGGCATGACGAAAAGTACATATTCCTGGTACACAGGAAGTTAGAGCGGTGGTGTGAAGATGAGCATGAGAAGATTACAACTCCAATAATGGAGGCAGACATCATTCTTGTCCTTCCTCACGACCTGATTTTGAATGCGGACCTTGTTGCCGACTAAGAAACAAGAGCAATGATGAGGATGATGAGGATGCTGACGATGGTGGTGATGATGATGGTGATGATGATGATGATGATGACGGCGACGACGACGATGAACATCATCGGCGCTCAGTGAGCTAAGGGCCAGTGAGTCTGTCCAAACTGCTTTCTAGACTACAGCGCCCACTGGGCCTGCAAGCACGTACAAAGAAAGAAGGCTGAGCAGCACTGCGGGAGGCCAGCATGGTATGCACGAATAACGTACTCGGTACTCCTGCACGCACGAGGTGTAGTAAGAAGATCATGACCACGATCATCATGATGACTGGTGAGGGTGGCGAGTGACTGAGTTCTCTTATGACATCAAGTTATGTTGCATCACTTGCGACAAGCACCCTTGGAGCATGTCCGGCTCCTGGCTTCGAGGAGTTGCAAACATTGGTTGGCCTGCGAGAGTTTGCTGAGGGCAGCTCGAGATCTCGAAAAAATGCATTTAAACGCCCATAAGCCGATCTTTCCTAGTCGTGGACTAATGAGCCCTCAGATGCAGACTCGGATAGCCCCAACTCTTGCCTGCAGGACGTTGCGAAAGCAGCGACCGCAGCGGCTGCGCTTCTGTGCCCTTGGGCCGTGAGCGAGCCCTTGCACGCGAGAACAGAGATGGACGGTTCACTGGCAACCACAAGCTCTGCTCTTCAACTGACCGCGATGAAGGCTTTGGACCTGGAAGCCTAGCAGCTCCACCGGACCCTAGAATCAGAGCCTGCGAGGAGAGCGAGGGGAGCCATCGCCCTCCTGAGCGGACAACCGCAGGTATTTGAGGATTCGGGGCACTTTAGATGGCTTTCGGGTTTGGCAGCTGCTAGCATCTCACGGCAACCACTTCACTCTTTGCCAGGTGCCGGGCGAGACCCCTTTCTGCGCAGAGGTTCCGCAAACGAGCGTTCTCTGCCCGGAGCCTGTAAAAGGGGACAGAAGCATCTGCGCGATTACGCTGATTGCTGATCTATGTAAGGTCTATGTGCGGCGTGAGAAGAGCCAACCATGCATCATGTGCCTGTCAAGTGTGGCTGCATTCTCCTTGGCAAGCTGACGGACCTTGCACACAAAGCAAAGGCTGCTACTTCAGGTGGGGTGGACTTACGTTAATCGTGAAATTTAGCTACGTAGGAGTGACATGGGCTGCTTCTCACTTTTGGAAATTCCCCCTGCGACCATCAGCACAACTTGGCTACTACCTCGTAAGTTCGACTTGGGGTGCTACAGGGCAGGCTTCTCGCAAACTATCCTGTTGCCCGCAGATCTTACGCATCGGACTCTGCATGAGGCAACAATGGAAACATCTGCTGCATCCTGTGGCAAACACCTCAACAGAGGATATGTAAACGTGTCAACTTCGTCTCCGCACATGATCGCTTCGGTGATTCTCGAGAGCTATCCCGGGCGGTCGCCTGCGATGGATTTGGCGGCAGTGCCTGCAGTGGAACTCCAAAGAGCAATAAAAAAACCTACCAAAATGCGATGAAGTGCAAGCCTCACTGCATCTATCATCCACTTATGTCCACTTGATCCGTCGCGAAAGTCTGCAAGTGAACAGCCTAGCGGACCTAGCAGAGATGCCCACCTCGGCTCCAAAAGACGTATCGGCGCTGGGAGACCTGTCGACAGGGTGACCACGTAACCGGAACTTTCGTTCAAACAAACTATGACACTGCAACGCTGACGCCAGCATGTACGTCAACAAGATTGGACAAGGGGGATAGCATCATGGCAGCGGCAGCGGTGGCTGCTTCGAAGGTGACGTTTCTCCATTGCATGTTGGAACCCGTTGAATTAGCAGCGGATGCGGACACACTTCTTCCCACGCTTAGACCACAACAATCCTCGGAGACTCTGCCAATGCTGGAAAGGGACATGAGATCACACCAGATGATTGATGACCAAGATGTCATCAAGACATCATTATGGTCGGCTGGGGCATGGCCGCGAAATCAACTCAATGAGCATTAACAACTCTGCATCTCTGCTGGCCGCACGAACACTGATTATCTACACTGCAACGTCACCTTGTTGTGCCTGTGGGTCATGCTTGGGCACACAGAATTTCGAGCGGTATTCCTTCTCATCCCATCATGTGTGCCACTGGAAAAAATCTCCGTTCATAGCTAGTCACACCAGATTCGTATCAGGACTCCCTGGGCATAGTCAATATAGAATCGGCCAGCAACACCTGGCTAATCCCAGCACGGGAGAACCCCAAACAGGACTTCGAAGCGCCTGCGTCCCGGCAGTGCCGACATGCTTGAGGTGTTTGAAGCACGTGCAGAAGCAGCTCCCTGTCCGGTCACTGGCTCTCTTTTCTTAGTTGCTGAGTTCATAAGCCCCAAAAAGTGCACACTTTCAGTTTTATAGGGGGGAATATTATCCCAAAAAGTGTAAAGTGCATCCACTCAGCTACTACGTTTTCCTTCTTGCCAGCCTTGGGGGTGGTAGGACCAGACTGCCTGCAACCGGTGAGCACGAAATGCTGTAAAGGGGGAAGGCGGAGGAGGCGAAGCTTAAGGGCTCGGCAAGGGGTCTTGCATCGCGTCCGAGGTCTCCAGCTTCAACTCTCGTTGGAGGTCGTCTACCTGGCAACTTGGTCAACTTGTGAAGTGGCATAGCATCGCCCCGGCGTACCATGGCTTCCGAGCGTGCGCAGTGCGAACGACCTTTGCTCCGAACACGCTGTTGCGCCAGGAATGCTGTGCGGAGGCGGCATTTCGCCAGCAGCGTGGCAAAGCTATGTACAAAAGGTGAGGTCTGCACGGGCTCACCATCAGAGTTCGATTTCGATGTCACAGGCTGCTTTGGGCATGTGACCACCAGCCAGCTGCAAGCGCTTCAGACCTGGCCCGGGCAGGCTCGCACTGGGACAGCGGGCCCCGCTATGACTTGCGCCGCGGAGCCACACCTCGTCCTTCCATGTTTCGAAGAAGCTCTTGGCCAAGGCTTCAGTCTCCTTCAAACGATTCGGTTCACGTCATAGAAGCTTTCAACGATGGACGATGGCGTCCTTCTCCGGGATGATCCGGATGTTCTTCGCGCCCGTGGCCATTCCCGTGAGGGTTAAGGCATCCTGCCATCCGAACTCTTGTGCGCGCAGAGCCCAGCACAGAAGCACCAACAGGCAAGGGCTTGGAACTGCCTGAACCTGCTTCTGGACATCCTGGCCACATACCTGCAGGCCGTGAACCGTCACACAGCTTTTTGCAGACAGGTCAACATGTCTGGTTTGCCGGACAGGGGGGGCCTGGATGCCCGTCATCTCCTGGGCCTTGCATCTTGAGGCCAACTTGGGCTCTTTGGCCCAAGCAAAAAACGTCTTCAGCTGCTCTTCCTGAGAACCACTGAGTATCTGATGATCCAATTGCATCTGGATTCTGGGGTCCTGCAGCACCATTGACCTTGCCCGGCAGATCGACCACTTCGCTGTTGCCTTCGAAAGGAAAGCCTGCCAAGTTCTCTGCCTCCGACACATCTGTGACGAGCTGGCATGCCTCGACGAAGGTCTCTGAATCCGGTAGAAACACAACGAAACTGGTCTCCTTGCGACGGGCACTCTCGTCTAGCTTCCTTTGCTGTGAGACATCCCTAGAGGCGCCACTCCTTCGTCGGCCATGGCCGGCTGCCCAAAGTTATGGGCACCACACCTCTGAGGCCGTGCTCTTGCTTGGCCATTGTGGGGATTGGTGATTTGAACAAGAGCAGCCTCGTGGTCATCCAAGAGCCCTAGCTGTAGCCCCAAACCGTAAGCCGTCAACCCTCAAACCACAAAGCTTTAGACCTAAACAGTTGGTGCTGCCTGCCTGTACATATACCCCAAATCCCTACATTCCTAAAACCGAATTAAACCCGACACCCTAAACCGAAACCTGCAACTCTGAGACCCTAAACCCTACTGCTCCCCAAAGTCCAGTGCATGAAAGGGCTGGTGCTTGAGTCGTACGAGAGCTTGAAAGTCGCATGCTTGACTGCAAAAAAGCTTGGTGAAGTACCGAGGCCGGATACACCCCACAGCCGTCCCAACCTGAAAGCTGACTCCCCCATTGACCACAGAGACTTCACGCAGCTGCTGCAAGGGCACGCTCGTTCTCGAGCTCCTGCTCAGTGCGCGCTTCTGGCACGGGTCTGGTCCGTTGCCAACCGATTCTAAAACTCTGTTAAGGGGCACGTCGGTACGTTGGGATGCCGGCTGCAGCCTCTGGAATAGATGCTGAACCCTGCGAAAAGGTTGCATTAGCCATCCCAATCCCAGCACTCAACAGCGGAAAGAGCACTCCTCGGGGGTCACCACTGCAGCACAGGCCTCGCGCCGGAGGAGGCTGCTCGCCTCCTGGGCTCGCCAAGCATGCTTGTTGGATGCATAAGTAAGCCGTGAGTGAAGAAATGATGCACCGGGATGAGTCCAAGTGTCGTCCTGATTCAAGAGCCCCCAGTTAGGCTTGTCTTCGTTCTTGTTGAAGTCCTGTAGCTTCTGTTTCAGTAGTCGGCAACCGCTGCGCCCCGGTGCTTCTACGCTGAGAATGCGGCATAGACCATCCACCACTTGTTGTTCCAGGGTTTCAGTCCAGCCCGCGCCATTTGGCCGCGCAGAGAAAAATAGTTGAAGTCAAAGCATGCGAATTGCATGTTTTGGCTGCTTTCGATGATGGGCTCTGTCCCACAGTACAGCGAGAGCTTGCAGTCCTCAGCTGTGCCGATGCAGCTAACATGGCACGTTGTCATGCACCCTGTGGGTGCAGACCCATCAACTCAGTAACGCCGCTTGACAATCTCTGCAGCGATACTGTTGACCTTTCAAAGGTGAAAGCAGGTGCTCGAAGCTGGCAGTAAGCTCCTTCAATCTCAGGCGTGGTGAAACGATCTCGCAGCAAGGAACAGGTCACTCGGGCTCCAGCAGGCAATCACAAAGCCTGACAAGCGCAACATTCCAGATGGGATCTGCAGTGAGAACCTTGACATGACACCCAGTGCAGAGCAGAACACAGCAGTTGGTGCAGTTGCGGATGAAGACGCTCGTCTCCACCGGGCCGATAAAGACTCGGCCTTGAAGCAGAGGTTGTGTTGAGAAAGCGCGACTCTCACAGAGGTGGAGCTCTTTCTTTCTTTGACGATCATGATCGGATCACTTCAAGCAGCTAAACTGTTCCGTTCCCGAGTGCCCAGACATGCTTCTCAGCAGCAGGAGCTGAGGTTGAGGCAATTGTGGCAATCGTCAACAAAACTCGTGGCAATTGTGTCCTGGTGCCGCTGACATCGACGAAGCTGGCTGGCCAGCAACTTGAAGCAACCGCCACTGTATCTGCCCCACGATAGAGCAGCCCAGGAGCAAGAAGAAAGATGTCACAGTTCTTGCCTTAGTTGCAGGCACTCTTCAAGATGCCCATCATTTCATGCCGCCGACTTGGGGATCAAATCCGATCCAGCTATGATAAGATTACGCAGGCCGCATCGCATCTCGTCAGTCCTGCCTGCTTCAATGCTGCCTAGGCACATTCCTCGAGGTTGAATTGCTCGCCATCGATGGTGCCCTCCTGCAGGTGCAGATGCTGACTGCTTCTGAATCACGCAGCATGATCATGCATAATCACACAGAACATGCCAGGAGAAACAATGTTGGCCGCTAATCGGTGCCATGATCGGCCCTTCATTGCAAAGGCAGGCAGATTAATGTGGATGGCAACCCCTTGGGGCACCGAAGGTGCAAGACGGCCTGCTTTGCCAGAGGTTCGGAGAACGGGATCAAAACACTGTATGCCACACTCACGAGAGCGAGAGAGAGAGAGAGAGAGAGAGAGAGAGAGAGAGAGAGCGACAGAGAGACAGAGAGACAGAGAGACAGAGAGGCAGAGAGACAGAGAGACAGAGAGAGAGCGAGCGAGCGAGAGAGGGAGAGGGAGAGGGAGAGGGAGAGGGAGAGGGAGAGGGAGAGGGAGAGGGAGATAGAGAGTGAGAGAGAGAGAAGCAGAAAGCAAGGGAGAGAGAGCGTGAGAGACAGAGAGAGAGTGAGAGAGAACGAGGGGGAGAGGGAGAGAGAGAGAGAGGCGGAGACTACCAAGACGACGACGACTACAACTACTACTGCTGCTGCGTCATGTCCAGCCTTCTTGATGAGGACTGCATCCGTTTGCTTTGAGAATACATAGTCCTCAGACGAGACGGGTCGGCGGTCAGCATGAACTACACCGTCGAACTCACGAAGCAGGAAAGCCTGCGACTGCGACGGGCAAGATGACAGAGATGAGGACGACGGTGACGACATGCTAGTGTCGGTTTCTGCTTGTTGAGGCTATTGCCTTCTCTATTCCTGTTGATGCTGCTAAGACGACGACGGCGACTGCGGAAGGGTAGGACCACAACTGCTTCCTACTAGCACCTTAGTACGGATACAGGCACAGTTGAGTCGCACTTACTGTGCACGATGGGCTGAGGGCAGATCTGCTGGATTGAGGTTTTTCTTCTTCACCTTCTGTGGCTTCGCCTTGGGCTTCGAAGTGCTGCCTCGTCAGACAAAGACAGTCATTACATACACACACACACACACAACACACACACACACACGCACAAACACGCACACGCACGCGCGCGCGCATGCTATGACTTATTTGTTACGTTCCGGCAGATGCCTTTCGAAGCTTTCGAGTCGCAACCGCCCATCTTGGGCACTTGCCGAAGGCAGTAGTCTGCTGCTTAGTACGGTAGTGCGCTCACATATTGTTTACCAATAGCCGGCTTACATAAAGAGTCCATGCACAACGTCTTCGCTCACTCTGTATCTGCACCACTGCAAGCCAAAGGCTGTGGAGGCACCCAACCGAGGGGGCATGGTTCAAACAACGCAGACGCTGTCAGCATGACTGGCAATGCGGGGCACCCTTTTCCAGCTAAGCTGTTGTGCTTCCCAGGCAACGACGAAACCAGCCAAACACGATCACGAAATATCACGAAATTGGACTTCAGCTATGATCGGTGACCCGACTGACCCGACTGTAATAGCCTGTAGCGTAGCTGCTAAGCTGTGATGTCGCAGTACTCAAGCTGCGACGGAAGTGCTGAACTCAGTCACGGTTTCATTCCCACATGTGGAAGCACGGAGCACTCGTCAACCCTGCACATGCAGGAGCCGCCGCCACCTGAACGCTTCAGGTGTGCAGGGCTTTCGTTCGTCGGCGTCCAATCTCGTCCAAAGTGAGTCCGGTTCGGTCTGGCACGTAGGGCTGTGTCCTGGAACGCTCTGCCAGCAGTCAGCAGATCCAGTCATTCCCTACTCTTACGGGTTTCGTGGAGGTTGCTTGAGTCTCAGTGGCTCGTCGGCTCAGCAGAGAAGCAGGATCAATCGGGAGCAGTCGCAGCTCCGGCAGCTCGAACCTTAAGTAAGGGAGCGAGGACGCAGACGCAGACAAGCCAAACGTAGTCGAGTATAATTCGGGAGAACGACAGGCATTGGAATTCAACTGCAACAGCCACGTCTGCAATACCAACATCACCCCACGAGATACCTCTTCAGGTTGCTCCGGCCGGAAGGGATGAACTCCACCACAGCCGTGGCTGCACCAGTCTTTCCCGGCATCCTTTTGCGCAGCTTCTTGGGCAAAGGCCGTGGACTGTAAGAGCCATCGGTCGCTGGATGTAGCCAGATGCGAGAGTCTAGCCACTGCTTTGCGTCTTTGGGTTCTTTTCGACGGGCGCACGCGATGGTCCATTTGTTTATCAACAGCTCATTCTGCTGGAAGCCCCGCTTCTCCAAGGCTCGAAGCAACTCTGGTCTCGATAAGAGAGCCCGCTCCCAGCTTGCAACGAAAGTTGCACGCCACGCACACTCAAAATAGACGTCAACCAGAGCAATCAGATCGCCTAAGCGGATGCGATTGGTGTTGGTGTAGTTAAACACCCAGCTGGACGGCTCCAAATGCTTCCAGAAGACTACACCATTTTCCGCGATGTTCTTGGTGTTGTGATCCTCTGGGTAACGGGGTTTCTGGTGATGGCCGTCAAAGCCGTAATAGTTATGATGCTTCAGGGCAAGTAGCTGCCCCGGCTCCGTCCATTCGAAGATGCCCTCGATGACCTGCCGGTTGTCCGGCAAGTGCTCGGTCACCAACCAGAGCGTAGCAACATCGAAGCTACCAGGCTTGATGAGTCCCGTGGGCCGCAGAGTTGCAAACGTACCGGGCAGCAACACTATCTGGCCTTGGCAGCAGGGACTCACTGTGGCTTGTCTACATTTTCATAGACTCAACACGATAAGGCTTCAGATCCAAAGCTCCTGAAAAGGCTTGCATCATCTCAACGCCAGTGAAGGGGAACTCCCGATACTTCTTGAACATGAGATGACTGCACCTCTGGAACATTTCACACTTCTCGCCTTTCCCTTCGCAAGCCTCAGAATCTTTGAGCATCTGACACTCGATGGGGTTTGGAGCTCGACCAACTCGCTTGTCTCGTGTCATGGCATGGCGATTGATGCACAGAGCTGGATCCATCCCTTTGTAGGACTTGACGCCAACATGCACGGCGACTACACCCATGGGCCCTTGCCCCATCCCAATGTCCAGAAGATGCAGACCTTTGAAGGGTCGGTAGCTGTAAGCTTGCTGGTCATACCCCCATTCCCGCGTCGCTTTCCAGATTTTGGACTTCAGCTCTGCCGCCGCTTGGACAGGAAGGCTTGGCGGAATCATAGGGCCGGCGCAAGCAAGGGACGTGGTCTCCAGCTTCTCTGAGGGTACGTCATCTTGCTCCTCCTTCTGATTCTCCTCCATCTCGATCTTCTCTTCCGGCTGGTCCTCCAAGTCCTGCACCGTCTGCTGCGACCCCTCGTCCTGCTTCCCATCTAAGTCTGAAACAGGCAGCGTCGGGAAACCAGCTTCTTGATCTTCTGGCTTAGCCTCCAGATCGGCCTCAAGCTGCTCTTCGAGATCCAACGTCCTTTTTGCAACTCCCGTCTCTCCCGTCGAGGGTGAACCCCCAGCATCCAGCAAGGACACGCTGTAGAGGCCATACAGTCCCAGCACAAGAATGAGAAAGAGGGCCCAACGTTGTGTGGCCATGTTGGAGGCTGGAGCTTCGCCTCATGTCCTAGAAGTGACGAAGAGCATGACAGGCTGCGGGCTGGGCTCTGTGTCAGGAGTCATAACATGATGTTTGAATGTCGAACAGAATCGAATCGTGCTTTCTTTCCGGCTCGCTGAACCCAAGATGCAGCAAGCACAAGTTTACGACGATGACCTCCGTGCTCATGCCCTTCTGCCTGTCTCTCGCAGGCACATACATAGACAATCCCACGCATTCATAAGAAACATGCACACATGTCATGTATCCATGATTCATTCATAGATACATAACACATGCATACACACATTCATACAATCTCATACAGGCACTATAAACAGGCATTGGACATGATGTATGCATACATGCCTGCATACATACATACACACAGACAGGCAGGCAGGCAGACAGGCATACATACCGACATACCTCATTCATACCTACATGGCTACATACCTACATACCTACATCCTACATGCGTACACATGCGTACATACACATCTACATACCTACATGCATATGCATGTCCGTACATGTACCAGACATACATACCTACATACGTACGTAGACATATATACATAGGTGAGCACAGACGTAAATACATACACATGCATACCAATCTGTGCTTGCGTGCACCCAAGCATGCAGGTATGTATGCGCGCAGCTACCTATCTGTCTCCGGGTGCGCACTTTGCGTGTCTCTCTCTGTCTCTCTTTGTGCATTCGGGTATGCATGTATGCATGTATGTACGTACGTATGCATAGATATATGTATATATGTACTGCAATACTACTGCAATGGTATGTATCTATGTATGTGCATACGTACGTATGTATTTTCTCATGTATTTACAAGGAGCATACATCCGCACACCTAAACCAAAGCCGCAATTGCCCGCAGCCACATCCGAACCACTCCTCTCCATGCACTTAAACATGCACTCGGCACCCGCCCCCGTGCGGAGACTTCCTCGTGAAGCTTCCAGTTCAATGCCTGTGCTTGACAGGTTTTTGATTCGGGATCACGGCCAACTTGGGTCTTAGTGAGGCATTGACTGATCTGGTCGCGTTTCAAGCTTCAGCTCATGATGCCGGTTGTTTAGGAGAGTATGAGCTTTGGAGCCACAGTTTAGTGGCCACGAGTACGCGCACACACACACACAGGCACACACACGCACGCACACACACACACACACACACTCAAAAACATGGTTGGCATGTCGAGAACTGACTCAGCGCAGGAGTCCTAGCAATGGTTTACTTTACCTCCGACAAGGCCTGAAGACGTGACAGAGTTCTGAAAGCTCAGAAGCATGGCCGAAGGCCTCCTCGAGGGATCGCCTCTTCTCCAGAAGCTTCTGAACCTCCTTGAGACAGCGTGACCAAGATCAGGACCGCGTCAGGCTTCTTTCCAGAAAAATCAGATCTTCCTATGAACCTCTGGCAGCTCCGGAAGGCCAACCATGCGCGGTGAAGATGCAGTATTCATGCTGCTTCTGAATGGCACGGACTTGGGGCCCAATGTGAACGACAGTTAGTGGCTGAGACCGGCTGAAAGAGCCAGGACAGGGTTTGTCGACGCATTCTGATGCCAAGGCTCGCAGTGTCATGAAACATGGCCATCAACAGCAACACTATGATCATCGCTGCCACGGCGGCAGCACTGCAATGTTTACCAACATTACATTGGTTGCTCTGCTTGCTTGCTTTGATTAGTGTTGAGAGTCCGACTGTCGTTGAAATGATCGCAGGTGTTCTTCTGTGATTACGATGGATTTAGGAGGGAGACTACTGCTGTGACGACTACTTACTACTTACTACTTACAACTCCCGACTTTCTGACTACTTACTACTAAGTACTACTACTTACGACTACTTGCTACTACATACTGTTATTTACTACACTTACTACTACTTAACTTAAGACTACATGCTACTACATACTACTTACTACCAATACTTGCTACTACTCCGCCTGCTACTCCGCCCACTACCCTGCCTACTACTCCTGCTACTGCTACTGCTACTGCTACTGCTACTGCTACAGCTACAGCTACCGCTACCGCTACCGCTACCGCTACCGCTACCGCTACCGCTACCGCTACCGCTACCGCTACCGCTACCGCTACCGCTACTACTACTACTACTACTACTACTACTACTACTACTACTACTACTACTACGTACTACGACCGCCACTACTACTTAGACTACTACCACCACCACTACTACTACTACTACTACTACTACTACTACTACTACTACTACTACTACTACTATTACGACTACCACTGCCATGACCACGACAACGACCACTACCACTACCACGACGACGGCGAGGACGACGACTACTACTGCTCCCACCACTACCCGGTACACTCTGCTACGACAATGACGACTACTACTACCACTACTGCTACTGCTCTGACATCGACCCATTTTACCCATGGTGGACAGAAGCCCAAGAGCATTGGCCTGCTGTCGCAGCGGAGAGGTTGTTGATAGCTGCCGGTGCTCCTTAGGCATGACGACGTCCAAATGATCAGGTAATCTCCATGCGTCCTCTGTTCCATCTGATTTCGGGATAAGTGCGGCTAGTGAGACTTCGCCTCTTACTGAAGTTCAGAGTTCCAAACGTTCCCTCAAAGCATCCTCTGGAGCAGAGTGCCCCGGTGGCTTTGTCTTCGCTGAGCTGCAGGCGAGCTCCTTCTGGATATGGCCTTACGGAGAAGGCAACGCAGTGTGTACCCAGTGCAAACTTTGGCGCTTACGGGCACGGCTGGTACGGGTTTATCGTCGACGGTCTGTAGACAAATTCGAGACAACTTCAGGTGCTGTCGCTGTGATTCTCGACTGAGATGAAAGCGCTTCTGCTGATTCAGCTGCCGAATTTCCAGCAGAGTCTGTTGAAGGGCCTGGTCCACAGGATTCAGACTATGCTTGAGGAATTCGGAAATCTCCTTTTGACAATCGTAGACTGATGCAAGTCTCAGTCTCTGCTGCCTTTTGACTGTTCCGCAAGCTCAGGCGCAACGTCGGCCCCCGAAGCCTAGGAAGTCCACATCTCCACGACATGCCCCCTTTACTTGGGAGTTTCCGAAGTTAGGGGACTCTAATGTAGTACCCTAAATAGTAGGATCCTTATTTAGAGGACCCCACAATAAGGTATTCCTAATTTTCGGAAGCTCCCTTTGCTTTACTTGGCATTTGACATTGTCTTGCAACTCGGGAGTGCTGAGAAGTCGACATCTCACTGCCTGATCTTTGCAGGCTTGCTCCATCCTCGCAGTAAAAACCCCCAGCATATGCATGTCTCCGAAACCAGGGCATTGCCAACAAACAAGCTCCTGCCGCGAAGACAATCTGGTTTGACCACAGCCTGCGAGCCACTAGGAAAGCCCCAGATGCGAATGCCTGCCTTCTCAAGCCTCAACTTAGCTCTCTTCAAACAAGCTTTAGCTGACTTTAGCTAGGGTCAGGCTAGCATGACCCGGATGAACCACTCTGGCCTCCGCGTGCAGTGCTTGGCCTTGCAGCTGTGGCAGCGCATGCAAACTTCACACTTGGACAGATCGAGCGATCAAACACACACGGCGAGAGAGACAGAGACGGAGCGCACGCGAGAGAAAGAGAAAAGAAGAGAGCGGCATGCAAGAACAGAGTGGGTAGGGCAAAAGCATCGACGTGTGACTCTATGACTGTGCAAAGTGGGATTCGCCCAGAATGAAAAGACCTGAAGTCCAAGACCCCAAACCCATTGTGCCAACCACAGGGATGCAACCTCAAACTGACCAGACAGGAGTAGCAACGGGGCCAAGAAGGGATTTGCCGAATCGAAAGCACTCAGATGTGAGGCTGCGGCGCAGGCGCAGGCTGCTGCAGCGTTTTCGCCTCGATTGCCTGCATCTGCCCTCTGTCGTCTGCCATCTATGAATCAGTTCTAAGGCGAGGCATTCCACCTCGTCTGGCAGTGACGGCAAAGGATGCAACCTCAGCTCATGCTCGTGGACATCAACCCTCGGACTCTCAGACAGAGACGAGGCCAGGACCGACTGGTTCTCGGTGCCCGCTCCTGAGCCACCTCGAGCCTCCACAGCGCCACAACGGCTTGGCAAAGCTGCTTACATACAGCGTCAGTCGGAGGAACCGCGAGCACAAAGACGCCGCGAGGCGGAGAGATGCTAAAGACCTTTAACCACAGGTGACACGACCGAATCTCTTCGCAGGTGAAACTTGAGCGTGGTTCACCAACTAGACTGCTTGGCAGTTCGTTGGTGCTTGGGCGTCAATACGGGTTTAATCGCAGAACCCAGCCTTCTGGCGGAGCCGCGGGGTCCTTGGCATGACCGAGATTCTGGCCCAGGTTCAGGAGAGGCTTCCTCTCCTTCTCCTTGAGCAGCTCCGGCCGCCTTATTCCCAGCTCCGTGGCCGCCGGCGTACAGCGCAGCAGCAAGTCGGCGCCCCGGGGCCCGAAGGGCTGAACGGTCTCGAGCACGTCAGCGCTTCGAATCGGGTTCTCCGAGAGGACCAGGCATCGGAGCTCCGAGAGCTTCCGGAGAAAGAAGCTCGGGCCCGGGCTGTCCTCGCTGGGCCCCGGCCTCTCTTCCAGTTCGTCCACTAAAGGAATGGATGCCCGGCGCTGGCGGCCGTGGAACTCGGTGTTTTGGGCCTGGGCCTTTTCTTTGGCATCCGCCAGAGCTTTCGCCTGTGCCTGCTGCTTTGTGATCCGGTCCTTCGCTGCCGCCAGCTCCGTGTCCTCTCGGAGCTGCACCGGCTTGAAGGGCTGGCACAAGGCTTGCAGGCCGAGATCCGTGATGCGGTTGCGGCCTAAGCCCAGATACTCTAAGCCTCGGTAGGCATCCAGGGCATTTGCCAGAAGCTCGGCCCCGCGATCGCAAATCCGATTCTCCCACCTGCAGTCCAAGCGCAAGCAGGCACAGGATGGCCCGGGGCTACTTAAGCACACTGATTAGTTTTGATCTTAAGCCGTCTGCTTTCCAATATTGCTCCAAGGCACAAGTTTAACGCCCTGAGCTGCCAGGGGCACTTCGAGAGGGTGGCGCAGACAGGCCCCAGTTCGAATCGCGTGATGGAGCATGCCCGAAAGCTCACCTTGGCAAGGCTCAACTCCCACCAGGCTTCAAAGCTTGCTTTGCTAGAACTGCTACAGTATACACTATACACCCTTCGATTGTCGGCTCGTGATGCTTCGAGCAAAGGAGGTCGGGCCGTCAAAATAGAAACAGCCCGAAGATACGAGCAATCGCAATCCAAGGCACAGATTCCAGCACCGTGCTGGGCTGGAGGAAGGCTGCGAGACTCAGCCCCAAAGCATCCTCTTCAGCTTCGGTGTCCTCGACGTCCTCCGTGTCGGGAAGGCTCTCCAATGCCTCCTGGCGGCTCGGGGCGCTTTGGAGCATACCAAGAGAGTCTTTAGGGTCTCGAACCTTCTTTTTGTGTTTTGTGGCAAAGCTTTGCACTAGAGGGTCCTTGAGGACTTGCAGCGTGACGAGGCCACCACCATCTGCACCGTAGTCCGGGCCATCGAGGACCTCGAAGACCTCAAAGACCTGGGAGCCGCTGACCCCGAGCCGCTCGAAGAGGAGCGAGTGGAAGTCTGGGGCATCCAGCGGAGCATCCTCCGCCTTCACCTGCAGTGCCTCCCAAGCCTTCCCCAAGCTGCCGAAACGACTCAGAAGCCACTCCTTGAAGTTCGTCAAAAGCCTCTCGGACTGCAAGGTGTAGCGTTTCCGCTCTCGTGCCTCCAAAAGGCTTGAGGCCCGATCGAAGGCAGAGGTCTCTTCGCCCTCCTCCCCCTCTAAGGGCAAATCCTCCTCTGCCAAGATAGGCAGGGGCAGATCCAGGTTGTTCCACTCGATCTGCAGGGACTCCACGGAGCAATTGCCTTCTGCAAGGCCCTGGGCCAGCAATCTGAGCATCTCGCAATCCAGGTTGCAATCCGAGAAGGACAAAACCTTGATATTCTGCACCGTCGGCAGCAAAAGGCCGATGAGGCTGATGGTGGTCCGATCGAAGAGGAAAGACTTCACCATCAGGTTTGGGCCTTCCTTTGGCGGCTTAGGCTCCTCGTGGAATCCCATCGACATAGCCCCCAAGCCGCCCAAGCCCCCACCCAGCAAGGCCGACATGTCCGGTGCCTTCACAAGCATGCTGGGCCGGCGCCTTTCTTGGTGCGAGGAGGGCAGCTGGGAGTGTGCCTTGCTTGGGCTGCCTTCCCGAGCTCTCTTCATTCGGAAAGCAGGGTGCACTGCAGCATTTACCGCGGAGCACAGTTTCCGCAAATCCGCTCCCAGCATCCCAGTCGGCTCGAAGCCTGAAGGAAGCTCACCAGGGACGTCTAAGTGGTCGTTGATGCCATACACCCAGATCGGAGGCCAGATCTTGGGCTCAGCCTCGTCCATGATGTGCGCCCTCGTCATGGCTCCCGAGCTGCCGACGCAGAGCCCCCCAACTCCCCCGAGTCCCCCGCGCGCAAGCGCCGCTTTTGGCGGGGCGGATCCAAGCGCTGCGCATCGAGCCCACAACAGTCAGATCGGCCGGACACACTGCAGAAGCTGCTATAGTCTGTAGTCTAGTAGAGTCTAGTTCAATTCCCTTTCAAGAGCACAAAGGTGCTGGCAAATGCAACCTGCCCGCCTTGGCACTGCAGGGGCTCCTACAGAAACGGTAGCTCTCAAGATCGACAGGGCTCCTGGAGGCCACGGCTGGTCGGGGTCCTGGTGCCAGTACACGCCAAGACTGCGCGCTTTGGGTAAGCGAGGGCGGCAGCGAGGGTGGCGTGCTGCTCATGCTGTCGCCGGCGCTCCATCTGGCATGGGCTCTGATCTTTGATAGCGTGACCCTGCATCAAGCCTGCATCCTTCCCCGAATCTGGCTGAGACCAGATGGATGGCCTCAGAGCAACGCTGCTGCTGGTCCCTTGGGTGCTGCGTGACAATCGGCGCTCAAGCGTCGGCGACATGGCCATGTGCTAAGCATTCCGGCATGAGAACGACGGCCCACACGGGGCTACCTTCGTGCTAGAACTATAAGTCCTGGTAGGGGGTTGGCACCAATGGGGCTGCAGAGCCCAAGACCTCGCCTGCGGCTCAGTAGAATAGATGCTAGAAAATGAACTCGAGGAGGCGTGCTCTGCTTTGCGAGGATGTTCCACGCTTCACAGTTTCACATGGGCATCCTCAAGAGCCTATAGGACAGCTTGCAACCAAAAGCGGCAATGGTCCCCCGTGTCTGCTCGCCCCTGCCCACAAAGGTTCCAAGAAGTTTCTTATAGCCCCTGGCAGTTGTGAAAAGGAATAAGCCTAAAGCGAGGTCCTCGAGGTCTTTGCACCCCTTTTTAGTCGGCGGAGCCTCTGCCCGCACCTTGCTCCTGTACTTTGCAAGCCGCTGTTCCGTGATCGTGTGAAACTGCACATCTGCTGGCGTCAGAAGTGCCCCCTGCAATCGTTTGCGAAGCTTGTAGCGCTCAGAAAAGGATGTAGGGAAGAAGGGACATTTCTGCCCAGACTTTTGCGAAGGACTTGATGCCTTCGGAATGTGCCTGGCCTGTCCTACACCTCATCGCGGGAACGCGAATGCGAGGCTCTCCAAGCCTGGTCCAGTGAACCACCGAAGGATGAGCAAACAGCTGATTGCTAATGCACAAGCAGCCACAGCTGGGGTTGGCACATGCCTAACGTCTGTCGCACCTGGCTCTTGAAGTTCCCCAGCTTACTGGTCAATGTAACATCATGCCAGGCCATCCAACACTTTGAGGACGGTGCAGAACTCGATCTGGCTCAAGAGTCCTACTTCTTGGTCACCTCCAAGAACCTCAGATGGGAGACGCACTAAAGCTCACAGCCTAAGAACAGAAGCAGCAAAGACGATGCACCGCAGGAGATTCGGATACACCACCTCTTAGGAGCCGGCTGGTCATAGATAATTTTCACATAGCCCTAGCAAGCAATCGGGGAGGACAGTGGATGGAGTCGGACTTAAGGGCCGGAAGTTCGACGTGGCGTTAGTGTCTGAAGCCAAGTTTGAGCGCTCAGAAAGCTTTTCGTTTTCGGCTGGAACCGGAAGCGCACGTCCGGTTTTCATGCTGCGGTGCATCACGACAGATCTAGCTTCTAACCCGGAAAAGAAGTCTTCGTTGGTACGTTCTTCTTTTTTCAAGTCCCCGGCCTTCGCCAGCTCGGCGCCATGCGCCACCAGCTGAGCCAAAGCTTGAGGTGGAGGTGTTGAGTTGGATCTCGGGGAGGGCTGGGGCAGAGCCTCCAATTCGTGTCACTCAACCTATGCATTCCTACCATTGTACCAGTGTCTCGCATTGTATGGAGGAGCAGGCAGCCGTTGCTGGGTTCAGGGCTTCGGGGTGAGACCTGTGGGGCATGGCTCCATGGGCGTCTTTGGCATGGTTCTTCTAAGGAAGGTTCAAAGGGTACTGTTGTCGGATTCAGCCGCTTTCTTTAACGATTTCTTACCCAGAAGGTTCCGAACATCCTACTATAGAGGTCTGAATATTCAGTACGAAATGTTCCCTAGTAGCCCCTGTATATACATGTACGACGAGTCCTAGGTTGTGTAACATCTATTTTGGCCCCTGCATAAAGAATCCGATAACCTCGCAGAACTCTCTAAAAGAAACCTCTTCGAAAGGGACAAGCACGCGTTCGAGACACAAATCCGTGCCATCACAATACATCATAACCGGCCGTTCCCCATGAAGAGACTCGACTCCACAAGCACCCGTTCGCATCGCGGCACATCAGAACCAGCCATTCTCCATGTAGACGTTTCGCGAGCACCAACTCGAGACCCGAGTGGCTTCACAACATATCAAAACCAGCCATTCCCCATGTAGACGCTCATTTCCAGAAGCACCTTTTCGAGACACACCACAACACATCAAAGCCAGACATTCCCCATGTCAATGTAGACGCTCCATTCCACAAGCACCCGCTCGAGACGCACATCAATGGCACCAAAGCACATCAAAAGCACCCATTCCCCATGTACTTGCAATACGCTCCCGCAAGTTGACGCTGCACAAACAAACATGCAAAATTCGTTACCACTGTAGTTGACTGTATGGCTTGACAATACGTTTGCGAAAACTGACGCTGCACACACAAGCATGCAAGATGTTATCACGGTAGCGGCTTGTATGGCTTCACAGTACATTTCCACAAGGTGACGCAGGATCGTTGCGACTTTTGGCGACACGGAGCGACTTAGGGCCGGCACCCAGTAGCTGGGATGGGCGAGGCAGGGCACGCGCCGCAGGCAGGAGGTGGGTGGTTCATGAAGTTAACTGCTCGGGCGCTGATGCTAGCATTTGCGTAGCACGTTGGCTGGGCTCTGGGCCAGGTGACTCTTGGTCTCCAAAAACTCCTCGCAGCCAACTCATGCATCGCAGGACGCAGACAGGGTTGGATTCCCGCAGTAAAAAACAGTGATACCCGAACACTACCCGAACGATGGATCCCAACTTGAACTTCTGCCCAAGTCTATCAACTCCGGCTGGTGTGGTGGAGTGGTGGTGGGGTCTGGGGGCATGCGTACCCTGCGATTCCTGCACCGTGTGGATTCCCATGGTCTTCGGGTGCACGAGGTAAAGAACTACCTTTCAAGCTGTCCGCTGGGCGTGCAAAGCTTTTCTGAATTCGGGCTTGGAATCCTGCTAGAAGCTGGGTCTCATAGTAGATGTCGACATAAAAAGAAATAACCTCGGTTGTTCAGCTTGCGGGCCCTTGGCTCTCGTTCAGCTAGGCTCTCCAGCTGTAAGTGCACGACGTAGAAGGGTATGCTAACGAGCCACTCGAAGCAGTACAGCGCAAATGACCTGAGAGGACAATGCGCAGCTTGCACATGTAGCTGCGAGGGCGGCCTGTGCCAGCCTGCAGTTGAGTACTTAGAGGACCATGGGACTTAGTAAGTAGCGTTATAAGTAAGGTAACTATAGTTATATCTACTTATAAGCCCAGTTAAGGTACTTATAGCCCTACCTACTAAGTCCCATGATCCTCCAAGTAGCAGTCTCGTAAGTGTGACACTGGAAAGCAGTCTAACTACGAGTGTGCGGATCCAGGCTTCTGCTTTGGGGCCAGGCGCTGCACAGTAGAGGCACCAGTAAAACAGCCTGGCTCTGAGCAGTCCAGATTTTTAAAGTGAGGAGCTTACGGCCCAAGGTGATCCAAGTAGTCGCTCAGGGCCGGACCAGACTTTTCTATCGGGCGACTCCTCCTGCAAGGAGTGAAGTGTCTGCACCTGCATGGTACGGGTTGAAAGAGGCCGAAAAGTGCCTTTGCTGTCGTCTTAGCAGCGACGGGCAACGCCCCTATCTGGTCGCTGAGGTGTGTTGGGAAAAGGGACTATGTAATTTGGGAAACCGGGCCGCAGTTGTAGGAAAAAGAGCTGATCACGATTCAAGTGCATCCACTCCTGCCCACGGCGCACCTGTTCAAATCTTCACATTGCTTGAACTGATCCCCGTAGTTAACATAGTTGGCATGGCTGCTCGCACCTGACCTAGCTCAGACCTGCTGAGGCACGAGCCAATGGGAACAGGATTGCAACGCAAATCCACCTCATCCGACACGAGAAAATCTCGAGAAAGCAGCAGTCCAGGAGCAATACATGCCTTGGAAGATGTCATGAAGCTAAGGCAAGGACAAGGGAAATATGACCAAGTAGTAGGGCCTCAAACCACAAAGCTCGATGCGATTGAACGTTGCACTTTTTGAAAGGCTCCATACACACCAAACAGCATGCATACCTTCGACATCGATAGAGATGTGTGACATTCCCGGGGCAAGAACAGCATCGGTTGGAAAAGGAGGCCCGCCCACTTCGGCCAAGGATCCAGTTTGAGGGCTGAAATGCAACGACATGCAGCGGCAAGTACTCTCACCCCTGAAAGTTACAAGGGCTCGTTTCCTACGTCTCCTCAAAGTCACGCACTGAGAGGCCATCAGCTTGCACGGGACTCCTACTGCTGCATCTCAGCTGGATGAGCATGTGAAGCTGCACGTCGGAAACAATCGCAACTTTTCGCATGCAGTGATGCTGGCAGCTACCACATCTTGGCAAGACTCGCAGCCACCCGCACGTCCGTACTTATGCTTCTCGTGCATCTGGTCGCAGCATCCAAATCCACTGGGCACCACACTTGATCTATTGTCTGGCATGCCTTTGGCGAAACGAAGCCGAAGCCTAGGGCCTAGGCATCCCTCAACATCCTGCACTCCTCATCACTGTCAGAGTCTGATAGATCGACAACGACCGTGGGATGCGCACGCGCGGCCGCGGCTGCAGGAGGTCGACTTGGCGGCAGATCTTGGGCTGGAGGTCGGTAGGCCTCCCAGCAGCTGTCCAGATCGGCCATCCATTGCAATCCCGCAGCATCTTTCGTGCTTATCGGTGACCGCCGTACAGAATGGACTTCCACATGCTGCTTGGAATCGGTGCTCTCAGCCGGCTCTGTCCTCATCGTGGCTGTCGGTAACAAGCGAAACTCGCGTGTTCCATCTGCGAGGTCAGCAGCGACCACGGAATCCAAGGCCATTGGGCCCTGTTCGGAGCCATCGGATCCCGCCTCGGCAGCAACCTTGAGAGCAGCGCTTGCGACGTCCTTTGAGATGCCGAGCTCCCACATCAACTCTTGCCGAGAGACCCGGGGACGGAGGCCTAGGCAAGACTAAACACCAGCCCATCAAGCATTAAGCTTCGGGGAGAACTTGCTTTTGCAAACAGTCAAAAACGTTTACCATGACCCGGCCTTCGAGTGCACGCCGCACTGCACTGGCGATGCCGGCGGCTTCGGTGGGTTCTCCGAAGTCGGCCGCAGGGTGGCCGCTGTCGGACATGGAGGCACGGCATGATTCGGCGTGAGGCAGGCATACGGTAGGGTGGGCTTTGGAAACTCTTGGGACTGTGATTCCAAGTCTCGTTGCGATTCCTCCAGGCATGGTTGGATTCGCGATTCGCCCCTGCCGTCTGTTGAGATCTGGGAAAGTAGCTACAAACCTGACCACACCAGAACATCTTCCAGATCCATACATATAGTCTCTTATGTAAGGTTGTCGTATATAGCACAGCACATATCTAAACTCAAATCAGAACTTCCAGGGACGAGGAAATGGTGTGGCTGGCCAATTGAATGATTGATTGATTGACTGCCTGTGGGTGCTGCGAAAGCATTCTCCACACTCCCGGATTTTGCTGCGACACCATCAAGCGATGGCAGGTGAAACAGTCTCCCACATCTGTCGGGCCACGTCATGTGAGACTTCGGGATGGAGGCGACCCATCTTGCGAGATTTGGGTTTAGGAGTTTAGGATAGCTAAGGGCCGAATAGGCCCAGGGGTAGGTTCAAAGCCGCGTGTCGAAGCGATGTCTGTTCGTCTCCTTCGCTGCACAGTCGACTGCTCTGTCGCGGCAGCTGACCATTAGCTCAGCCATGCACCTAAAGCTACAAAAGGTCACATCGTTACAAACAGTGAGGATTCGAAAGCTTTTCTATCTGCACTGGGACTTTTCTGGAAATAGGACTTGTGCGATACGGCCTTTCACCTTCGGTGAAACGCAAACAAGCCAATTTCAATAACAAGCATTATCATGTTGTGTGCATTCCCGAGTGGATACTCACGGCTCTGTCACCGTTGCTGTTTCGCACGTCAGCACGACGCGCTGTCTGTGCTGCTTGACATGAATTCTGTGCATCTTCGCAACTGGTACTGAAGCGTTCGACGTTGTCGCACGCTGCATGCAAGGAATCTTTCCAGCACAAGCCCCAATGTTCACGACGTGTAGTTTACGGATACAACTGGACATGAGAAGCACATGAAAGAGCTGGGTACGTGTGTTGGCCAGGTGCCTCAGCATTCTTGCTCTCAATACCTCGGCGTCGACAGCACTCTCGCGAACGTCTTTGCTTCCGCCGCGCAGAACTTAACCAGGACCACCGCAGAGCATCCGAAGAAGATGGAGCCAAACAACGACCGGACAAGACCTGACTCCTGGGACCCCGGCGCAATGCTGGCAATGACCTTCCTCTGCTTCTGCCACTCCTCACCTGAGCTTTTGTGAAGCTGTGATGTCACGCGACCCTTGCTGATGTGGCATCTTCCCGCTGCTATTGCTTGCAATGCTCTCACCGAACCTGCTGCTGTGGCATCCGTCCCTTGTTCCGGCTGTGGCTCGCTTTGCTACAGAATTCCTCTTCTCTTCATTGCCCTTGTGGAAAGCCGGGCGCTCTCGCGGGGACCGGACACAGACTCTGGAAAGCCTGAAGTGGCTTCAGGTCTGAGGCTCTCACCCATGAAACGCCCTTGGAGCCAGGACTCGGCATACTCAATCTGGAGCTTCGGGTCCACTTGACTGGGCCAGAGATGCAAAAAAGACCCTTCATGTGTTTTCATGTTTTCAAAGATTCCAAATCGCAGCGCTTCCTCGCCGAGGCTGAATGCTGGCGGTGCTAAAGTGGCCCCGCCTGGGGTCCTCTTGAAGCTTCTCGACGATGTCGTCGACATCCACAACTGATCCCCTCGGTATTGAGCGTGCTGCATGCTCGGAGCCACAAACCCATGACCGGCCCGTGCAGGGCGAACTTGAGGCTGAGAAGTCTTCTTTTCAGGGAATGCAAGCGACCTCTCGCAGGCACTCCAACGTGCTATATGCCATCCCCGAAGCACGACCATCCTCTCTAGTAAGCATGAAGCCAGGACAGCACACTGGGCTGAGCCGTGCGCTTGTCAACATCTATGTGCCAAAGACCACAACACAGGCAGCCCAGTGCCAAAGGCCTTTGTGCACGGGAAATTCAGAAAGCCGACTGCTTCAGGACTCTACCACCAGCTTCGTGGACTGGTGCCCGCTCGCTCTGAGGAGGGCGGCACGATGGCAATGCCGAGGAAGAGGATGCCCAGGCTGAGCACGGGAAGCAGCAAAGGGTGAAGCGAGGTGGAGCGTTCAGTCCAACACTCGTTGAGCCCCTGGCGCTTCGCCAGTGCTCATAATGCCGCCGGTATATGGGCCTGATACGCAGGACGTCGGTTTAGTCTGGAGGCCCGACCCTTCGGGGCTCCCTCGATCTCCTCCATGAACTGTGCGAAATGCTTCAATTTCTTTTTACCATTTCAGTGATGTAGTAGGCTTCTTCTCAGTGTCATGATCTGTGCACCTCGTAACTGCTGCGAACTGCAGCACTAAACCTAGTTGCACTGGGGAGGCAGCAGAAGACCCGGAAGACACCATCGTCGCACAATCGAACCGGCAGCGGCCTGAAATTGTCTCCATACACCAGCCCAACATGTTTTTGAGTCACAGGATCAAGATGCACTTGCGATCTCTTGGAAAACTGCTCCGGCATATCACTGCGGTCGATGAACTTGAAGAATGGGCCTGAGCGGCTCGCATCGCGGAAGCTCATGAGAGAGAGGAGTTGCCCATGACACATGGAAGGTGCTGGGAATCCTCACTCCCAAGCTGTGACTTCTAGCAAGCTCGAGGCTCCGACTTTGGTACAGCTGCGAGCTAGTATCAGCTTGCAGAGCCTTCCTGTCGCGGCACTCAGCTAAGCCCCTTAAGTGGCATTCTCTTGAACAGGGTTGCAACGGCGAGAGGCAGCGCGTGAAGCCCTAGGATTGCATTTTCCTCAAGCTGGTGTCTCCGCATTGGGTGCCGGGCAGTAATGAAATGAGACCCCATGGACTGCGCTCGTCCGTAGATTTGATGTCCTTTCTTCTGTGAAGCAGTGCACCAGTCCAAGGTCAAATTCATAAATTCATAACTTTTTGCGGCTCTCTGCATACGAAGTGGGCCTGCTGAGGGCCTGGCATTCCAAGTCCCAACTACCTTGAAAACGGTGTTCACCACCACAGATCCATTGGAGAGTGACGCCACCTACAGTTCGAAGCATCGAAGCTTGGATATCTTGCACACACTTTGAAAGGCCAAGACTGTAATTCGCGTTGGATCCGCGTTGAGTATCTTCCCCATCTCGTAGACGTAGCCTCAGACTGAAAAGCGGAAACACCCTACCCCTTGCAACACCATGCCGCTTCAGTTCACAAAACTGGCCTACACGAAAGATGGAGAGGTCCCGACGGTAGATGAAATATCGCTGCTCCGCATCGTCGGAGGATCGCGAAGCAATTGGAGTTCCGCCTGGGAGCCCAGGCTTGGCGAGGTCTGCAACTGTGGAACTATCACGGGGCACTTGTTCTAGCACATGGGGTTCATCTTCGGGGTAGGACCGATACATCTGGCGGGCCACGGCTGCCACGAGTGCACCACCATTGAGAACGGACTTCATGTCGTGGCCACGGAGCCCACAGCAGAAACACAATGTCACAATATCAGAAGCATGTCAAAGCCAATCCCCGTGCAGATCTCCACAGAATGGTGGTGCATCATCACCCAACATTTCGCTTCGGTTGCCACTCTCGAAACAGCACTTCCTAGCCAGTGAAGCGCCGAGATCGAAATGAAGGACAAAAGACTTCGGAGCAACCAGGCTTGATTCGGCACGGGTACGCTTTCATACGACGCTCTTCTTACAAACAAAAAAACGTCTATTGTCTCCTTTCGTGATTCTTAGCATTGGTATTTCTGCTGCTGCTGCGGCGGCTGAACGACAACAACAACAACAACAGCCGCAACTGCAACCACAACAACTACCACGAGGACAGCGACTACTAAGCGACGACTACTGCCAGTGCTACTGCTACCTGCTCTGCTCCTGCCACTGCCGCTGCCACTTGCACTCCTGTTACGATGTTGCAAGTTATTGCCGGTTAGGCCTGGATGCTCCGGCACCTTCGTGACCGAGCGGTTCACGTGAGATTGTCAAGGAATTCTCGCCTTACGCTTTTCGGCTCTGGGCACTGCCAGCTTAGCTTTGGTTAGTAGGGAATGGAAGAATGGTAGTAATATAGTAGTTATAATTGTACCCCCTTCGTCCCTTCCCGGCTAACCAAAGGTAAGGTCAGTGAGGTGTGCAGGAAAAGCTGAAGAGCAGTCTTTAAGACACAGCTGTTGCAGCCGCACAGACCCCTCTGAGTCTGGCAGGCAGTGGAAGGATGTCCCACTGCTTTGCTTCTGAGTCCCAGCGGTCTACATCCGCGAAATCAGAAGAATAGCCACCGAAGACGAACACCTGACAGAGCCGTGGTAGCTCCTACATTGCTGCATGGTGAGCACAGATGGCCAGCCTGCCCAGCAGCAGCGGCGGCGCCGCAGCCGTGCCGTCGCAGCGCAGTGATTTCCAAAGCTTGCCAGCAACCCTCAGCGAAGCGCTCAGCCGCAGGGGGTGACACCGCATCCGCCAAGAGGTGGTCCCTGGCATTGGGGCATTGGCAGGACAGTGCAGAGATGGCCTTGGCCAGTTCTCAAGCCGCGCCGTGCCTTGCCACCGCGCCACCGCCGAAGACGAAGAGATCAGCACCCAGAGATGCTGCACTTGCCGAGTGTCGTGGTCCAAGCAGCGGAGGTGCAGATCCTGAAACTGAATGGGAAGGCCACGTTCCACAACCCGGATATTTGTGGCAATTGAATCGTCGATAAGCAGCAAGCAGAAAAATCGAAGTACTAAGACTCAGATCTTTTAACGCACTCGACTGAGGCTGCGTCTCCATCGGCAAGCCTCGACACTGAGGCACTCCACCTTGCTGCTCGCCTCACCACTCGTTTCGGTGCCACCAATCCTTGCGTGGGAAGCACAGCGATATTACACTGGCTGCAGAGATTACTTTACTTTACTGACAGCAACTGCAGTGTCGGCAATCCTTGCGGAATCTGCTGCTCGTAACTTCTAGCTTGCACTGCGACATGTGACACCTGTACGCTTTGATCTGCGGAGTGAGAAGTTGCTCACATGAAGGCCTTCCCATAATGTCCAAAGATCACGATAACCTCGCCCCTGCAGACCGCAGTGGCAATGTCACAGCGTGGGCAGGCCATCGGTGGAAGTGCCTCGGCTCAAGGGACATGTGCGAATTGAAACCTTGAGCTTTAAGCCATGATCACGTCAGGTCTTGCCGGACTCTTGTTCAGGACCGCGCTGGTAGTAGGCTCTGCATATAGCTCTTTAACATCTCCCGAAACCCAAAACCATCCAACACCCAAACACAAAGAAAAACTTCACCTTCATAATGGTAAGAGCCATACCGGTAGCACGTTTATGAGGGCTACGTGTACGTGTACGTATGTATACAGGTATATGTCTGCAAGCATGCTTTCATGTATGTCACGTGTGTATGTTGGAAGGCAGGCGCTCCGCGCATACAGGTAAGCAGCATGCACGCATGCACACACACACACACACACGGACACACACGGACACACACAGACACACACGGACACATACGCACACACACACACACACACACACACACACGCACACACACCCTCACACGCACACGCACACGCACACGCACACGCAGACAGCCAGCCAGCCAGCCAGGCAGACAGACAGAGACAGACAGACGGATAGACAGACCTATACATAGTGCGCAGCAAGTAGGTAAACAATGTATACAAGAATGGATAGATGAAGAAGTATTGCAGAAATTTATTGTTTAACGAACAAACACAATTGTGTGTTGCTGGTATCTATACCCTCTTGCTCTTGCTCAGGCATGTACGTCTCTGTGCATGTGCCTCTTACGGTGGAGAGGAGCGGCCTCCCAAGTGCCAGTGCCCAGGTCGAAACGGTGCACTGAGCCGACCACCCCGCGGCGGCCTAAGAGCGACACAACGCATCTTTTGGGGGTTTGGGTTTAGGGCTTAGGGTTGGGTTTTGTACTGGAGGGATTCAAAGGGCGGGTGAGAGCCATGAGAAAGTTCATGCATACCAACAGGCACAAACACAAAATTTCATCCCAGCTGCTATCCAAGTGTCTCATTCCGCCGACAGCGTAGATTCCAGAGCCTAGCAGAAGCGGAAGCCAAATAGATTCGGCTATTGCCGAGCGTCCGGAAAACAAGTCGGATGCTCCATCTTCGACGGACTAACTGCACCGCTGCACCACCCTACAGCTTCACAAAGCCTGGCCGGGCCTGCTGCTGCCAGAGCAAAACGCGTGGTGCTTTCGCCAGGGCGCGGAGGAAGCGGGTGCCACTGATGCCGCATCGCATCGAAGCGCAGAAATCGCCTCAGACTTTGCCAGGCATCGAAGCCCTGCGACAACATGAGATCGCCCTGGGCCGACATCTAGTTCACTGCGAAGCTAGCTGTAAGCTGGGTGAAAAACAGCCTCGCACAACACCATATGACTCAGCATAGTACGAGAAATAACAAACTCAGGATGCTTTCCGTCGACTACTAGAGGGTTTTTCTTTCCGGCGGCGTTGAGTGATCGGGAATCGCAATGTAGCAACCAAACACCACTCTGCAAGTTTTTAAGTTACTATCACTCAGTATGTGTCCTTGTCATATCAGGTTCCATGCAGCCACACCCAAAATGCTCGCCAAAGGTACGGCTTGGACCATGAGGTTCCACTGTTTCCGACATGATCCTCGGCTGTGAGCACGAACAGGTCCCCCCTGCGCGAGGCCACCGCAGAGTAGGGAGACAAAGGAGCCGTAACGTCATCGAAGGTTCGTGTGCGCGGATGGAAAAGAGAAAGAGCAGGTGGGCGCCCCTGCCAAGAACATAAAACATATATCCGCGCCGTGCTGGCAAGTAAGCCAGGTAGAGACCGTCGCACGCTCTCAGCAACAGCTCGAGAGGCTGCCCGGAAGATGCACGTCACGGCGGTACCGGCCATGTGCGAAACGGTCTGTGCAACATCATGAAGCTCCACGACAGAGAGCGGCACGTCCACCAGGTGAGCCTTGCGCTCCGTCGACAACTTCGAGCTGACGAGCGTGCGCAAAAGCCTCAAGTCGAACTTGCTGCGGGTCTTCCACTTCCCCACATCGGAGGGCAAGCAAAGCTCAGGCTCCAGGCTCAAGTAATCCGGCAGTGCAGGTAAACCCAAAAAAAGTCGCACTCCCGAGGACAAGGAGGTGTCAACTGCAAGCGTCGAGTTCAAGTAGGTCTGAAGCGCGTGCTGGCGCTCAAGAATGAAGTCCACGTCTTGTTCCTGCCCGAAAATCAGCTTTCCAAAGCCGTAGGCACGCCTTGTGGGCAGCTGAGCTCGAGAGTCACCGAGCGTTGATCTCAGCAGAGTGTGGAGCTCAAGAAGGTCCCGGAAGCGTCGGTAAACTTGCCACTGCCTGCCGTCTGCCGCAGTTGTGACGATGCAGTATTTCACGTGGGTACGCTCTCGCACATGCCCGTTTACCTCGACCACATACTCAGGCTGCATGTGGCCAGGTTCAGGCTAGCAAGTTTCAGCGGAAGCATGAGGCGATGGCAGATGCACTTACCGCACTTACCACGCACGAGTCTCGTGCCACAAGCATCTCATGTCATCTCATGCCCTCTATGACAAGTCTACAAGGCATCACTGGACATGGTACACTGTCAAACCTCGACTTGAACGCTGATGCTGCGGGTAAGCCCGGCTTATCTAGTGTCTTCGCCACTTCCCTGAAACTACTCCAACTTCAGCCGCGCAGGCACGGTGCCCCAAGGGCCGCACTACTCTCATACGGGTCTGTCATGCGGATTGGCAGCATGTAGTCCTGCAAATGCAAGCGAGTAGATAGATAGCTAGCGAGATAGATGGACCGAAAGATCGATGTAGCAATAGATCGATAAGTCGATAGATAGATAGACAGATAGATACATATAGATACATAGTAGGTATATAGCTAACCAAGACAGGCAGATAGCTAAATAAGCTAAGCAAGTTAGAAAGATTGATAGCTAAGTCACATAAGTAGATGGCTGGATAAATAGCCACATAAATGTAGACATCTGTAGGTATGCATGTATGCACGCATGCATTTTTGCATGTGCATGCAAGGAGACATATAATTGCCAGCGAATTATCAACCCCCATTCCCGGCAAAAGCAGTTGAAAAAGGCTTTGTAAACAGTTCTCGACTCCCCTGATCGAGCCAGGATATGTTTTGAGCGAACCAGTTTCTAAAACAAAAGACCTTCATTAAAAACAGAAAAATGATAAAATCAATTTGTAGTCATATTTCCCCAAGAAGCGAGATTTATAAAACCGAAACGATTTTAAAACCGCTGCGAATTCAATTGTTCCTCAAAATATCTAACCATTTCTCAGAATCTTGGGCGATCTTTTAAAATCTCAGGGTGGGGGTTGGGGGGGTGTAAGTTGGTCGATGATATAAAACCCACGTCATGCTCAAATCCCATCGCAAACATTGTGAGAGAACAGGCGAGGCGAGGGTGGAAGAGACCAGAGTAGCATGGAATTCAAAGCAAAATGGCGTAGAACAGTATGGCTTTGTGAAGTATATCGTAGTATAGTATAGTATACGGTAGTCAGTAGCATACTGCAGTGTAGTGTGACATAACATGGAAACAACAAAGCATGTTGTGTGTGTAAACATAAAAACGAAATACGCACTTGTTGCTACATATCATATGCCACGAGAACTACACGTTCTAGTATATACACATTATGTGGCTTAGTATCCTTAGGTATGGTGTATTGTGGTATGACATAACATGACATAGAAGAACATACCACATGTGTGTACACATCAAACCTACCTATCATATAACGTAAAGCCTGTACAATCCGCATCATAGTATAGTAGAGTATAGTATGGTATACTGCAGTATAGTGTAGTTTAATATGACAAACACATACTTTTACTACTATAGATCATGTCCCGAAAAAATTTAAAATGGTACATTCTGTATTACATGTAGTATAAAAGATGATAGCACAGTATAGTATACTGTGGTATGGTGTAGTGTAGTATGACATAACATACCGTAGGTGCGTGTGTGTACGGACAATACATACTTGTTACTACATAGCATATAACGTAAGAACTATACACTCCGTAATCTAGATGGTACAGTGTATAGATAATGTTGTATGAGATACAATTTACGTCATATGTTATGTCAAGCACGTAATATATGCGACTTATACAGGGAGTTGCAAAAAACAATGTCAAGTGACGTTTACCGGCTATCATATACCATATAGGTCCTGCAGAACACCATACATAGTACGCGTTGTTGTACCACTGTCACTAAAACATCATGAGGATACAACACTGGCGTTGTAAAGCTGAAGTGTCACAATATTAGCTCCCTTACAACACCGAAAAACTGCAACATTGCAACATGTGGGAAATTACTTTCAATTCATAAAACCTAATATACGAAAATGTCACGTTACACTATCAGTATCGTTCGCACGTTGAAAACACGTAGGATTCGGTCTTACTTGAACATGCTTGAATGTTGAAATATACGATACGCAGAACACACTATGCAGAATGTGCACAAGGTAAACAGCAGGCACCGGTGTTCTATGTGATAAAATTCATACAGTATTCTTCAAGTACATATGGTGTACTATCATGTTAAATGAGCATATAGCCATATAGCATTTTACGAACCAATTTGCAGATGGAATGAACTACACAGGACAGAGCAGGTGCTGAACAAGCCTGCGTGTCGCGAGCATGGAAGGCCAGCGTATCACGCATACCTTAGCCGACATCCCAGATATGTTACACAGCTGATGTCGTGCCCAGGCATCCGGCACTTTCCAGCAATTGGTATCTTCGTTCTCGGGCAGTGTTCCACGCAAGCGCCATCGACCTTAAAGTCAGAAGTGTTGCCCACGTTGTGCGAGGGTCGGCGACTTCGCCCCAAAACAGTCCGTTCGAGGTGTCTTGAATCATGCTGCAGTCACGGACCCATTCTTGATGTGAATCTTACTATGTGAAGATCCGAAATTGGAGTAGGAGATCGACCAGAACCAATGGCACCGCACAGGAGGGCCGAACGACCACCATGCCCACCTGAGCAATCTGCCGGTTGCAGCAAAGCTTGCTAAAACAAGCCGTTCGCAGTCCTCTGCTTGTGGCATCTAGGAAGTTCTCGCGGCTCGCTAGCCACAAACCGAAGTCACGGACTGCACCGGTATGCTCCCGGCATCATAAAGACGGCCAACATGGATTGCGCAGACCTCATCAACACTCGAGCGACTCTTAGCGACTCTCAGGGGCTGCGCACCAATAGAATGTTGCAAGCTCTTGCGGCTTCATTCTGTGCCCACCAGACTGCTCGTGCACCTTTTCGTGAGCTCACGGCTCTGTAGAGGCCCGTCTCGATCGATGTCATGCCTTGCGCTGGTACGCAGCAGATAATATATCGATACGGCACAAGGCCCAAACCACCCAACGAGTTCATGTCGGAGTGGGGCTGAGGTTCTAGTCCGAGAGCTAAAAACACTACACACATAGTGGCACGCGACAGGTCGCTGTGCATGCTTTCCGGCAGGGGTCGTATATAAACCTGTGCCGACGGCAATCAGGCCCACCAGGCAGGTGAAGCATCCGAAGCAGCCAAGTTCAACCGCCAGCTTCTGCTTTGCAGCATCTGTCAACTGCAATAAGCCCGCGACCTTCATAGGTTATCTGATCCTGACCTTCAGAAACAACCTGTCGGCAAAGCATGAGACAGTTGGGCAGTTGCAGATGGTGGCAAGAGATCGGTGAATTCTTGTCTAGCCCAGGTGAGCCTTTCGCACAGCTCTGAACTAACGGAGCAACCGAAGCAGGAACTTGCAACAGAAAGAATCACTTGCTTCGGGATGCACCGTCTGCTGGACTTAACACATCTGCTGATTCTGTCTTGCTACACTTACGAGGTCTCGCCCGACATCACGTCATACGTTAAAGCGCTAGCTGAAACGACGAAACCGGCCTGGCTGATCGGCTCTGAGAAAGGATTCAATATCCGCGGACCTGCCCCAACACAGCTTCACACACCATACGACATGCAAGATCCCAGAAAGGCGTGTGTTTGCGCAGCACAAGTAGCTGCTTTACATGTATGTGTGACACCTGTGCGCGTACATGTAACATGTACATATGCCTATTGAGTGTTGCAGTCGCTTGCGGACTTATTTATAGCATGTGGATTCCCAACAGGAAGTGCGCATCTGACGACCATGTCGTTGGGGCCTCTTGTGCGTTTGTGCTGCGCGGGTTTGCACGCCACGACGATGGGGGAGCTACGCATCCGTACTGTGGCATGGGACACACGCGAGGATCTGAACCGCCCCTCTACTGTAGCAAAGGCCACACTGACATATTGGAAAGTCTCGTAGTGGGCCAAGAGAGCCCCTGTTAGGCTTCAGATTCTTAGCTCAAGCTTCACGCGTTGCCAGCCTATCAAATCAAAGCTGCAGCGCTGCTGGTTGGGGAGGAAGTGCACTGAGTCCTGGAGCTTCAGACATTGCTACTGGCTGTTTGATGCTGCTTGCGACAGGACAGACAGTCACCATGAGCATGTTTTCAAAGGTCCAAATGTCCTCCTGCTGCAGGTTGAAACCCAGAATCGACATTGGAAAGACCTCGTCGACCCTGGCATCACATCCGCACCTGTCGGGCCAGATCTTGGGATCTCGCACAACGGAGACTTTGCCGTGACCGCCTCAAGAGCTCCTGTGGGTTGCAGGGGTCCGTCAGTGGCGGATTGCAGTCCAAAGCTGTCGCGCAGATCTGGGCGGCTGCAGCTATTCCACAGAGGGCCGTGGCGCAGGCGGCTCAGGTACCGGCCGGCGAGGGGCTTCGGGTGCCAACCTCGTACTGGTACATGCAGAACATGTGTCCTGGTCACGGACAAGCGAAGCTGAAGGCAGCTATCAGTGCCAAAGCTTTTTCAATCTGAGCCGGACATCCTGCAAAAGGCCCATTGCCCACCATGGGCGATGTCTTGATGGGCTCTTCCCTGCAGCAAAGCTATGCATCCAGTAACTCTCTAGACATGCCCATGGTAGCCCTGAGCAAGTCTGGCAGGAGCCACAGGCCCTGGCTGGATGTTGTTGACGGACTGGATCGTAAGTGAGGTATCCTTCCAAAGATTCCATCTTATGATCCAAGCTTCGGGCAACCGTCTCAGTCCCAGGCGTTTGCATTCAGGGCGGCCGGTAGAAGGAAGCCCTGTGACAGTCTCACACAAGGCCAAGGCACTCAACTCCTCAAAACGCAGATGTCACTGCCAGGCCTGGCTCTCTTCGATGCGGAGGTCCATCATCGTGAAGGCAGGGATCACCTGTCAGCAGTGGAGCGACGCGTAGACGTAGACATGGATGGCGCCCTTTGTGCCTGCCTCTCTGAGCGGCACCGATAACCTCGGCAAACCCCATGGGCATCAACATGTGAGATGATGCAAGGTCTGAGGCCTCGCCTCAACCTTGCAGTCGTCTCATTCCAGTAGCCCATTGAGTTGTCGATGCGGAACCGGTCCTGCTTCTTAAAGACTGAGGAGAAGTCTTTCAACAAGACTAAGCATGCGAGTAATCCAGGCAACCACCAGCTCACCCACCACATTCCACCGCAAGCTGATGCTCAAGAAACCTTGCCTCACCCATGATGTGGATGTTCACTTTGGCCAAAGAGTTTCGGAACCCAGGCCTCGGACGAGCTAATTTCTGACTCGCACTCTTCCTGGTTACAGGGATCTCTGCGGGAAGGCTCAACCGTCCTTTTCATATATCCGCAATAATCCGCAATACCACATGCTATCCCATCAGGCTGCGTTACTGACCGAATGCTTTGGGTCATGCAACTGCTGATGTAGGATCTGAAGGAAGTCTCAGATGCGATCGCATCTATCGCATCGCATCCAGCTGCTTGCCAAAAGCAATGCATCCCCTGTGGTCGCAGCGCAGTGCGACGCGTGCCTCGATCTGCATCGCATAAGGGATGCTGCGATGGCTCTGCAGGCGCCATGGTGCGGAGGCATCGCTGCGAGTCCACGTTTGAGTTGCCAGGAGTGTTGGGCCGAGAACCGGAAATTCGATGCAGGTGGTGATGGAGCTTGTCTTTGACAAACTCACGCAGTCTGAACTCGCCGTTCTCAGCTCCGGCCGGTTCTCTGGCGCCAGGACCACCTCCCAGAGGCTCAGGTTCGTGCTCCCTGTCTTGCCATCGACTTGGATGGCGTTGCTGAGCTCCGCGTCGTCTTTCTCGTCCTCAGCGTCACAGCAAACCCCGACACCCCCCTACAGTATCCTGAGCTCACACATGCCATGCCTCTGCAGACCCGGTGCAAAGATTGCTGCCATAGCTTGGACGTCCCCTTCGCAGAGTGCCCGGTAAAACTCCTCTTGGGCTTCCAGGGCGCCCGTGGCGTCGGCCATGGCGTAGCGCTCCTCCAAGGAGCTGAGGCGCTTGATCGGCGGCATGGCGGCCAGCACCTCGTCCCAGATGGGACAGCCGAAGTCACTTCCAAACACCCGGCCACGGAAGTTCAGCCCCACCCAGAGGCAGTCTCCAGAGCTGCTCTTGTCTTCAGCCAGGGCCTCGAAATAGCTCCTCACAGAACATGATGCTGTGTCCACTGTTGTTGGTTTAAGGTCAGTTACGAACCACAGTGTTCCACAGCTCCAGCGACGGCGACACACCACTAAACACCACCCCTCCTCCAGCGTCGTAGCTGCCTTGCCTTTGCCAGCCACGGCCCAGCCTGTCGTCGGAGTTCAAGGCCGTTTCGTGGTGCCGATGGGAACGAAAACAGCTAGCAGGGCTCCCTTGACGTGACATCAGATGTGCATGAGAGGCAGAAGCTTCAAGCTTCGCCGCCTGCCGCAGCAAAGCCTCGGAGCCGAAGGCCGCAAAAGCCACCTGCCCACGCTCTGGGAAAAGCGCCGGCTCAAGGCTTGGGTGAGAGTTTAGGGTTTTTTGTGTTTTTTGGGGGGGTTTAGGGTGTAGGGCTTAGGGACCGTATAGTAGTATAGCTGGTGTGGGAAACTGGTGGCAAAGGCGGGTTCCACTGGTCGGTTCGACTCGGAGGCAACAATCCATCGGGAAGCTGCCATGGAGGTACTTGCCGAAGGCGCCTGAATGCACTGGCGGCGCCTCAACTTCACACCTCTTCTATGCAGGTTTCGGATGGAGGACTTTGTCCATTCCAAACGCTCAGAACTCAACGATGAGTAGGCAGTCAAGTTGAAACCAATTGGCTGAAATCAGAAAGGGACATCGTCCGGGCAGGCTGAGGCAACTAAGACTCTAAGCTGTGAGCTCCGGCATTTAAACCTCTCTGCACTCTTCGTTTGCTGATTTCCGGGCTCGTTGAAACCCGAGCCAGCTTTGTGCCTGGAGGCTTCAACCAAAGAAGCATCTGGAAAATTAGCAGATTGCGAAGGGCATTGCACGGCTTCTGTGATTTTGTCGATGATGATTTGCATGAGTAAATCTGCGGAAAGCATGTAGCACTCTAGATCCGGGATATCTCGATGCCCGCAGCCTTGTCCGAGTCCTCCAAGGTCGCGGACACAGCGAGGACCAGGACGCGGCTCTGCTCGAAACGCCTCTGCACCGACAGGGCTTTGCCGGCCATTGCTGTTAGCCCAGGTCACACAAGCACGACCTTTGAAGGAACGGGGAAGGGGCATCTGCTTATCCACTGCCAATGGAACCGCTCTTATGTCCATGGTGGCATGCGGGGCCTCCTGTAGGGCAGCGCTGCTCTCAGTGCTTCCACAAGCTGGTCGAAACTCCCGAAGAGGGCCACCAGCCGGTACTGGTCCCGGAGAGCCTGCCGTCGCATGTCGACGCAGACTTGAAGAGGATGGGAAGTGGGAGCTTCAGAAGGCTTTAATGAGCTACTTCTGAGCTTCTGTTACTTCTTGCGCACAACTTGCCTGGAGCTCCTTGCTCTCCGACCTGCCGGAAACGGGATCTGACAGCTCCACAGAGAGGTCCCCAATGGAATATTCGCGCTCCAGTCGTACCAACTGCGCGGTTCGCTTGCCTCGCTCGCGCAGGAACAGGAAGCCCGACGCCAGTGTTATCGTTGCGGCTGCCACAAAGAATGGTGGTCCAGCATTCGATGGGAAGAAGGTCGGTGAGAACAAGCCGCATATAGTCAGGAACAGGAAAATCAGGATACGCAAGGGTTCCGACTGGTTTGTGTTCGAATACTGAAGTAAGGCTTCACGTCGAAAATCTTGCAAAGAGAGCGGATCAAATTCTGGCCGCCGCAAGAACTTCTGCTTGTTAAAGTTTTTGTCACTGTCCCCCGCTGCCTGCAGCCGGACCGATCTCGCAGCACGCGGGCTCAAAGCTCCCAGGACAAAGCCTCTCATTTGAAAGGTCATGCCGCAAAGGGCCAGAATTCTGAGCCATCGAGTCCAACGGGATCGGGGCCCTCCTGGCCGAAGCATTGCGAGCACGAAGCCCCTTACGAAGTCGATCTTGCAATCTGCAATGATGCGCTTGTTTGAAACTTCGTTCGGCTCTGCTATCACTCTCCGTTGTAGATGCCTGCTGCTTGCTGCCACGGCTAACACTGAGCATGCCCCTGGACAACCGACGAAGCAAATGGCAAGTCTACGTGTTGAAGAAACGGCTATGGACGAACTCTTGCCTTTTGTTTCTCGACCTTGAAACTCCCAGAACTCTATGCTTCAACTATGAGGCCGAGGGAAACAGAGCTGCCCCTACGCTTTGGTTGTTTATGGCAGCTCGCTTTGTCCTTCTGCGTGCGACGACATATTGCATCTGTTCATCTTGCATGCAAGTATGTGGCAAACCACCCAGAAGAAGATATAGGTAGAGAGCTAGGTGGGGAGATAGACAGACGGACGGATGGACAGATGGATAGCTAGAAAGATGGACAAATGGACAAATGAATTAGATTAGATAGGGAGACAGGCAGGCATGTAGACAAGCACTATATACACTATCGAGTGCTTGATGTAGCTATGTTTATGTAGAAACTCTAGCTTTTTTCAACAGAAATAAGCGCCACAATAGCGGTAACAGCAACAGTCATTCTCTTGGAGCACGGCAAGAAGATGATGATGTCGTTGTCCTGAACCCATGCATGACCAGCACAAGTGACGATTATGCGTGTCTTGCAGGCTCGTTTCTCCGGCCTCTGATGGAAGAGGGATATGGGGCAAAAGTCACATGTTGGCAGGGTATTGTCAAAGCCTGTGATTTTGCATGGATTCTCCGGCCCGGGCATCAGTTGTCACACCGACATCTCTTTTTTCGTGCGGGTCGTAACGAGGGGAGTGTCCTCGGTGATGTTCACCGTCGGCTGCAGGATCATCTTCAGCTGAAAGATACTGTCTTGCTGCGGCGGCCTCAGGTCGAAGAGGGCAGGGCCCGCTTTCATGGTTTTCGATATCGGGTGCTGGGAGCAGCACGCATAAATGAACTCTGACACCATGAAAGATCCTCGGGAGACAAGCTTGCAACAAGCAGACTGCAGTGGCAATGCAACTCTGTAGCCGCGTCGCGATCGACCACCCGAGGAGACGTCTTGATGGGCTCCTGGAGAGGGCGGAGGCGAAGGAAAGATAGCACCCAAAGCTTTCCCGCACCTCGAAGATCACCACATTCCTCGGGGAAGCTCCAGAAGTGCGCTAGTTGCTCGTCACGAAGGGAGCGCAGGACAGGCCCCGGCCCAATTGCTTGAATTGTGAGAGATGGATCGTTCGGCAGAAGTGGCGTGGCCGGCAGTCGGAAGCCACTGGACTCCATGATCCGCAAGACCTGATGCCGAAATGATGCCAAGACCGCAAGCCGTGGCATCAACTGATTTTTTGCATCCGCCCTTTCGAGATCATTGGAGCTTCACCGAGATTTGTATGAGCGGAGTCCTTGCTTTTAGCAGGCGGGGATCGGGCCGTTGGCTGCTGGCGATAGATCTGCTGTCCGATGGGCACCTGCCAAGGCCGCAGCACTCTTCAGGTTCCGGGATCACAACACGCTAATATAAGCCAATAGTTGAGCGGCCACGAGGTCGAAGATCTCTGCCATCTGATCCCAAATGCCGGTGCGGATGAAGTCACCTACGGCACGCCGAGCGAGGGGAGCGAGGACAGCGAGGTGCGTGCAGCTTGGAGGCAGGCTCAGGTCATAAGCGTTCGACACGGGCACCTCCTGCGTTCCGATCGGGACCTGAGCACGAGAGGGAGTAGGCAGTCAGCGCATGCAGAACCGGTCCAGCGCCCCACGTCCGTAAAGGGGCAGGTGAAGCCAGGAAGCCTGTCCAGCAGAGGGGCTGCTGTCTTTCTCCTTCAGAGTGTCAGGTCTGGGGTCCAAACTTCAACCGCACCGTGGTCCCAGCAGGAAGGTTGACCTAGGCTGGGGCACGGCTGTGGCGGCAGAGCTACCGGACTCTCTGGGCACAGCACATTTGGCCGGAACCTGCCACGTCCCCAGAGCAGACATGCCCGAAGCCCGAATTGTTGCAATGCTGGTTCGACCAGAAGTTGAATTCCACCACGGTGTTTGGGTATGCCACCGCTCCTGCATGTCATACACCCTCAACAGGACACAGCTCAACGGCTCTTTGCTTGGCGACCAAGGATGCGACCTCGAGACCCGTAGTAGATCTCTGACACGATCTTAGCAACACAATGTGGAAGATCCGAAGCCTTTCTTCCCCAGAGCCCCTGAGCACGGCACGAAAAGCTTGCCTTCTTGGCTCACCCGGGTGGAGAACTGAAATGGTCGCTCCGGAATACCAGCCTCGGGTGTGTCAGCACTTGCCGGACTTCAGGCACACATGGAAGCACTTCTCTGGCACCTCTGGCACCGCCAATCGAAAAGACGGATCGCTCTGATATGCCGAGTACGGCCTCAGGGCGGCCACACGCCACATCTAAGAACAGATCCAGCCCGTGACGTTTTTTAGCACGTCAAGGGCCATGTTCCGGGCAGCTTGAAGTCCTGATCGCGCTCGATGAAGAAGCGAACACGCTCCTCGGCTCCATGGCATGGTGCCAGACAACGCTTCAACTCGCCAGCAATCGACTCCCTGAATCTCTGGGCACCGAACTCCCGCAAATATCTGCACTGTGGAGACCATCTGCACCGTCAATAGGACCTGGTCCTGGTCCCAGTAGCCTTCCTGCATCGAGACTACGTGTGAAAGGAGCAACAGTGGACTGCTACAGATGAGGTGTAAAAACAACTTGTGGCAAGAAGCTAGTTGCTTGCTCTTGGCTGTTGATTTTCTACCCACTTTTGAAGTCAATCGATGCCTCCGCCAGGATGGACATCTTACATATGCCATATACAGGTGCATATGCATATGTATATATATATATATATATATGTATGTATGTGCTATATGTGTACATATACAAATATATATATATATATATATATATATATATATATGTATATATATATATATATATATACGCACCCATAAATTCACATATGTACATACATAAATGAGTATACACATACACACATACACATGCACCAGCACATGCACATGCAAACGCGCCTAGACACCCACCCACCAACACACCCACACACCTTCGCCTACACGCCTACACACCTATGGAGTATACACATATTCACTTATTCGCATATTCACGCATTCCCATAATGACATATTCACATATACACATACCCATACACACGCACATACGTATACATACATTGGACATGCGCATAGTATGTGCGCAAGTATTACATGGCATGTCTTTGTAGCCTATGTTGCCCGCTATCTTATTGTACACTTATGACAATCAGCCAGCATATTATAGCACTGCAGCCACTTCCAAGCGGCGTGCCTCGTTTCGGAACAGCGGCCCGTTAGCTCCGGAGATCTTCACTGTGCCAGAGCGCGCAGCTCCCTGAACACCTGGACAGTCCATGCATGGCTTTTGAAGCTTCTGGGCTTAGTGTTATGCTTCAAGGCTTAAGGGTTTCGGGCCATCCATCTATCTGTGCTATGTCGAGGAAGATGTCAATGTGTAAAACTTAGTTCGTTGCGTCCTCGCGTGCGCATGAGTGCGTGCTTTCGTGCTTGCTTGCCTGCTTGCTTGCTTGCGTGCGCGCGCTTGCTTGCCTAAACTTGCTTAAGTACCTAATCTGTACTTGGTACATCCATACATACATACACAAACATATATACATAGCTATTATACATTGACATACGTTGCACAGTATCAGTGTTACATACGTTGCATACATACCGTGTGGTCCGCAACCAACTGCCACCGCCACCCACTCCGCATCCCTCCCAGGCTCATGCTCCAGCAGCTCCAGCAGTTATCCACATTTTGTGGGTGGTTAGCGTCAGTGTCCACAGCCTGACCTTTAGAGTTTGTTCGTAGTCAACTCCAGTCCCGATGAATCTGGGATCTAGGCTACATGAAGAATGGATGTTCAGCCAGGGAAGAGCACCGTTGGTGCTAACTTCAGGTGAGCTCCCACTACGGGTTCACTGAGAGTCCTGCCGATCAAGTTCGTCCGCCCAGGATCTCGGACAAGCCCACCCAGCTTGATGTACATTGTCCTTAGCGTCTGTGACTCTTGCTGCCTCCCGCAGACATGGAAGCAAAACCTCAACCGGAACATCCCCGGCCGAGCCCGGCGCGAATTCGGGAGGACGTCTGTGTTCAAAACTAGCGAGAAGCTGATTCTCGTGAAAGCATTGACTGACCTAAGCCACCAAAGATTGTTGCTTGCAGTACTGCGACGACCAGAAGAAGGATCCTGGGGCCCCTGCGCGTCCTCCGGCTCGAACTCGACGATGGATTCGATGACGAACTTATCCGTTCCGACTTTCGGGATCTTTTTGATGGGCCTTGGTGGTCCGTATCTCGTTAGAAAGCGGCTTTGTTAAACAAACTTCCCAGCACCGGGCTCGAGATCTATCAGGGCACCCTTGCCTCGGCTGCGGCACCATAAGCCACCAACGTCGCGACAAGAATACAGACCAGGGCCTTCGATACGCAGGATGCCGTCATTCTCACTGAGCCTCACAGCGCAAGACTGGGAAGGGTCAAAGACCTATATCCACATTCAGAAGCACACATGACACTCATCACCTGCGAGTGGGCATTGAAAATCTGAGAAGGCAGCTTGTCCGGCAGGCGGAAAACGCTGTCCCGGCCGATGGACACTCTGAAAGGCATGGCCTCACAGACAACGGGCTTGGACCCAGGCATCCTGAATACCTACTCAAACAGACCTCCACCCACCCTTGACTGCAAAGTGCAACTTCAGCTCCAGACGTTGCTGATAATCTCATTCTCCGCCACAGTAAACACCAGCATACTGTCCTCCGATCAGCGCTAAGAGTAGACTGGTGACTAGATGTGTCCCGGCACTCGAGGCTCCTCCTGAGTCCACGAGGCCGCCTGGTTCTCAATTCGAAAAGCATCGGCACCTCCCACAGCCCACAGCCGCAGACGTCAAACTCGGCTTCCCTGAGCCCGAGCTGAGCATCGCACCCAGGAGCGGGATCGAGGTCAAGGTGCACCTGCAGCTCTCTTTGAGGATCTTCAAGAATGCGGCCCCTGGCTGGCTCAGCTTCAGACGCAAATCCGTACATGTGAATGACGATGCTGTCCTGAGATGATGGAGAGATGCGAACAACTGCGAGTGGAAAAGCCTTAAAGCTGGAGCTCTGTCGGACGTTCGTAAGGAGTCGACACCTTGGTAGAAGACGATGGTCGGCTCCAGGGTGAAGCTGACGTTTGCAGCCAACCTGCAAAAAAATGTATGTATATATACATATATATATATATATAGTTAGTTAGATACATAGATATAGATATATATAGATATAGATATACTGTCTGATAGATAGACATATATATATATATATATATACATATATATATATATATATATGTAGCTGTCACCCACCACAAAAAAATCTCCCATGGTCCACCGCTGGACATGGGGCGCTGGGCCTGGGCTCTGCCGGGTCGAAAGCCAGCTGGGATCGTCTGAAAGTCTTGTCCCCCATGCCCACCTCGGATAGGATTGGCCGCGCGCGGGCGACTGCGAGCCCTGGCTTCGAAGAAGCCGAGGCCGGGACCATTGGGGAATCGTCCACGGGCTGCCGCGGAGCCCTGCCCGAAAGCTCTCTTCTGCGAAGTTGCCGCCGGCTTGTTGCGACGGAAAAAGTGTGTGAAAGCCACGCGACCGTCTGAGTCTCAGTGAATCTGAGGATAACACCCTGGATCTGAATTCCAGACAAGCAGTGAAGTGTCGTTCGCCTTGCTGCATCAGGCATGAGGATTGGTGAAACGATGAGACACAGTGCGGGCGAATTGCCTCCTTCTGCTCACAGGCCCACCTAGCTGAGCTCGCGACATAGAGGGCTGGTGGGAGAATCAATTCCTGGGCTACTCGTGCAGATCTTGGCAAGCAGTTTCAACGCCAGCTTGCTCTTGTTGGCTTGCTAGCAAGGGAGCCTCCGGCGGGGCAGCGCGTCTGTCTAGGCTGAGGCCACTGCTGTCAGCTCGACCTGCACCACATACCTGGGTGAGATGCTGAATGTCAGCCTTATCTACGGCCCGCAGCGCCAATGCCATCGCACATCACTTCGAGCCCCGGGCTCATCCGAGTACAGGGTCCTGACTACATGGAGCTCTATTTCGTTCTCCTGGCACGGGTGACATTCCACAAGGCTTTGCCCGAAAAGAGACAGATGGATCCGGCAAGCAGACAAAGTGAATCGAAGCGAGCCAGGACAGACCGGGATGTTGAAAACTGCGCTCTCGTCCCTGAAGTTCGCCTGCCACTCCGTAGCTCCACGAGATCGGCAGTCGTCCGTGTTGAGGCTGTGAAATGCGAGAGCTGCCGCGATTGAGAAGTAGCAGCAACGCATGGCATGACCAGTGGAGTTCGCAAATTACCGTCGATGTTCGTGGATGACTTTGCTTTCAACAAGTGTCGACAGACCGAATACAATTAAGGTTGTCATGATCAGCGATACTTGAGCAGGCCTTTGTGGTCCCTTTCAGGGGCACCTGCACGCGCTGTGAGGTGAAGCCCGAGAGGCCTCCGTTTGGCAAGCTGTGATGTCATGCTGTTTCTGGCACGTCCCAAACTTCAAAAACTTGTCAGAAGACAACTCCTCACTGCTTGGGTCTCGGCGCAGATAAACAACTGATCCAGCCTCGGCGAGGCAACGCGCAGGCAAGGAAAAGACTCTGCGAGCGTCGAACCGAAGCAGCCCCCTTTTGCCGCTGAGCCCCCTGCAAAGAGAGGCCTGTTGGTAGAGAAGTGGAACATGACGCTGCTCATTTGGTTGGGCATGTTGTTGCTGTACATAAGCCTCACGAGCACGGCGAGCACACGTGGCAGAAGGAATCACCACTTTGGGTCACTGGCCGGGTAAAGGTGAAGTTGCGCACGTGGGGCACCGCGCTTGATTGAGTGACCTCCCGACTCCCAAGTCAAGTGCTCCGTGGAGTTAGAGGAGTCAGTCCGAGCTTCAGGCAGGGGTCTCCCGCACCACCTCATCGATGTTATCGAAGGATCTCGCAGAGACCTGCCAAAGAGGAGCTGGAAGGAAAGCGATGGGCCCTTTCCAAACTCATCCGCTGGTGCACAGCATGCGGCCACCTCGAGCGTGGGACTGTCAGCTTCGAGTTCGATTGGAAGCCGAAACCTGCAGCGTTTGGAAGACCAGGCAGGGGGAAACTCTGCAAGCAAAGCACATCCGCCATGGCTGGGTTGCAAGTGCGTCTGTGACCGTCGAGCGCTTACTCACATGAAAGACAGAACAAGACGGAATGGAGATTTCAACACGGGCCCCTGATTCAGATGTAGGCATCCTGCTCATCGGGCTCTGTTGACAATGTGACCTGACGGTCGAGCACCTGGGCACGAGATACAAGAAAGGCCAAGGCAGCACGGACTTCAGAAGAGCGATCAGGGGGGCAGGCCCTGCCCTCTCTGAGGAAGAAGGTCAGTTTCCCCTCCATTGCGTCCCACAGCGCCCTGCTTTCGAAGAACATCCAATCCTGCAAAACAAATTGCAATGGCGGACATGAGCACTTCGAGCTGTCAATCTGGGGCCCGGTCAGCCCCATCCAGGCTGTTTGCTGTGTTGAAATTCACCTCGCCGCTCCTCACAGCCCACTCTTCCAGACGAACCGTCTGTTCTGAACAAGCATAGCTGGCACAGCGGGATAACTTGGCCCATCGCACATTGTTCTCTCGCTGCACGAGGGGCATAGACAGAATGATGCGAGCACCTTGTCAGAACGGACATGTCATCGGCTCTTCCACGTTTGCCGAAGTGGTTGCAGAGTGTCTGATACTGCCCCTCAAGATCGGCAACTGGTTCATCTAGTGGGAAGAGGATCCTCACGAACCGGCGTATGTTCAGACAAGGGGTGACTTCGCCTGCCTCACCAAACAGTGGGGCAGGCTTGCATTCCAGTGTTTGCGACAGGTCAAACGGCCGAGCAGGGCGTCAGGTCGCAGTGGCTATAAACGAGGAAAGGAGCTGCGGGAAGGTACATTCAGGTGCGAGAAAACGAGGGGCGAGCCACACCAACGTCGAGACAGGAACCCTATTCTTTCACCCACCGTCATGTGGCAAGACTGGCCTCCGAACATACCCCTGCCATCTCTCAACATCTTCTGCAGGCAGCGCGTCTGGCATCTAAGCCTCTTAGGACGAGGCGATCGGTCAGCGGGTTGGCAGGCCGAATGGTGAGGTGAATGATGGTGAGGGAAGAGGAAACCTGCGCAGGGCAAGCTCGCGCCTGCAGCTCACAGCTACCCCCAGCATCCCCCAGCCACGTGGCAAAGCGGCTGAGAGCGAGGCTGGTGGAGCAAATGCAACCTGAAGGCACGCCAAGCGTCACAAAGTCAGCGGAAAAAATGGGTTTAAGCAACCGGCACGGAGGAAGTCCCACTGAAGGCCAGGGTCGATTTCCGGCGAGTTCAGGATCGGCTCCTCGTGTTTTCTAGGCGCGACTTGTGACTTGTGGTCTATCGCCCGAGATGTCCTCGTTGATAGAAGTCAATGTATCTAAAGACGTCGGGCCCGAGATCGTATAGCCCTTGCACACAGGAGGCTTCAGCAAGAGTCGCGGAGAGATACCCCCTTGACTTGTCTGGGGCCAAGGCGGAAAAATCCTGCGGAGAGGATGTGGGAAGCCTCATGCCTGTGACAAGAACACTTTTCGGATTTGTTTCGGGAAGCCTCCATCCCCCAGATTCTGAGCTGACGGCAGCAAATTGTCACCTCAGTGTCGGTGCCGGCCAGCAACGATTGCCCAGTCCGCACCTCACTGCAGAAAAGCTCGAAAACGAGTGGACTTCCACTGCTCGATGTTTCACGATGCTCGGCACACCGCTGTTAGTCTCAGGAGCCTCGAGTTGAGATTGTACCTGGCAACGTACTATGCAACTGAACTTTCACCACATCATCTGGACTTTGTTGAACCATTGCGGCTGCATAACAGTTGTGTACCATGCCAGATGCACAGCGCGGGGGTGGTAAAGAGCGGATTCTGTTGCGTGTTGTAGCCTGGCAGGAACCGAATTGCGATACGCCGCTATCCCAGCGAGCCCAAACTTACCGACTCACTCCACTTAGGCTCTCGCCAAACAGCGGATCCACTCCCAAAGGCACCTTGCATCGCGGTTCACACAGCAAAGTTCAGCGTCTGCCGGTTCCATGTGCTAACAGTGAAGATGACGGCACAGGCTCACAGCATGCTTTTCCACCCAGGGCACCGTGTTGCCAGAAGTGATCTCCAGGTCTCGAATCAGGGCGTTCCTTGCCAGCTTCTTCGAGATCAAGAGAGCATGACTCTCTCAGGCTGTTTGCTTCTCCCAGCAGAGGATGCCACGCAGTATTCTGCGTTCCGACGGCTTCGAAGCCAACAAGGTTGAAATCGATGTACCTCAGGTCAGGTGTAGTGTGGAGCGGCTGCCCATGAGACTATGGACACACAGGCACCCCCGGACGAGGCCGCAACTGCGTCCGCTGGATGCTGCTCGGCAGATCTCTGGACTGGGCGGCGGCGAGGGTCAAGAAAAGGCTTCAGCTCAGTCGAGGCCCTTGCAGGTTGCAGTATGATCGTGATGTTGGCAAGGCTCCTGGCCAAGTCTCTGAGTCTGCCCTGGAAGCTGGACAAGACTGCGGCAAGTGCAGCCAAGATGCCCTGGATAAAGCGGGTTGTAGGCCAGCGTCGACACCACAAAGGTCTGGGCAGCTTGGAGAAAGGCTACAACAGCAACATCTGAAACTTGGAGAACACCAAGAGAGCGTGACAGCACCCAGGCGGCACCGGCTGAGCGGGCGGCTGCGGGGCACAGCTCTTCACGGTCCTCTGCTGAGAAGTCCTCTGATGTACAGACCTCTCGGATACATCTGACAGTCTTCTCAGTCTGCTCTGATTCGGATCCGGATAAGGTGCTGGCGTCTACCCAGGGAGTGACGACATCGGTCTGTGCAGCACTGAGGCTGAAGAGCACCTTTCAGAAGCTAGAGCCCCTGCTACGTTAACTCTCTTTGAAAGTGCTCCTGCGCCCGCAACTCCCTTCGGGATTTGGGGAACTGGTGTAGGTCAAAACATGCGTCTACTCCACCCGAATCCATTAGCAGCGCGGCCACCTATATGACATCAAAAAAGCAGCTGCGCATCGCGACACCAAGGCACCGCTGCGATGCAGATAACGAGGGCACTCCGCAGCAGCCCGGAGAATTCCAGCATCTCAGCTTTCTGCTCTCGCTAACTTTCGCTGACGGACCGCCAAGGTCCCGACAGCTGTCAAGCCCACCAGCCTGGTACTCCGGGCATATGCTATGCATACTTCTGTACTTACGAAACATGACACTACATATACCTGGGCATGTTTGTGTGTGTATATGTATGTGTGTATGAACACACACATATACATATATATATATATACATATATATATATATGTGTGTGTATACTGTATACATACATAGTGCTTATGTACATATATGTATATACACGCAGACATACACTAGTGCAGACTTACACATACACAATAGACACATATGTCTAGGAGAAGTTAGTGAACATCTCTGTCTGTGTAGGGTGTTGTTTGTGCCGCAGCTGTAGTCGTGATTTTGTCCAGAAGTGCTTGTGGTTGTCGCTCTTCATGCCGGCTAGGATGATGAAGATGATGCTAACAAGCGCTAGATTAGCAGCCCGCAGTCCTCGACACTTCTGGTCTGCTGCAAGGGTTTCTTGGTGGGTCTGCCGCTCCCCTGCAGACAAGCTGACAAGCTCTGATGCGAGAGTACTTGAGTACTTCAGCCAACTCGTCCGTCTTCTGCAACAGTCCGTCAGAACGTGAAGCTACAGCAGCTACCAGTAGCTGCGAAAAGCCCAGCCTTGGAGGCCAGGAAATCGCCTTTACCTCTTCGAGGAAGCCGACGTACTCGGTAGCCTGCCCGGCGCGAAAAGATGAAGCCCACGTCAGGTGGCATCAAGGAATCTGCGATGCTGATGGCTCAAACATGCAATGCAGACCACCTGTTTCGGGGAGAGGAAACGAGACAGCTGCGCACGACTGACGCACGGCTCGGGCTTTGCCCAGGCGCTGTCCAAGCAGGGACAAGGAAATCTAGAAAACCCTGGACATCCTACCATAAAATGCCGCAAAGCCTTTTGAAACGGTGGAGTTAGAGGTCGCTGAGGAAGCGAGTAGTCGACATTTGGGCTGCGACTTCTCCGGAGATGTTTTGCCCCAGCTGCTGATCGAAAACTTTCTGGATGCTGGGGTTTGTCTGCACACGCACGGGAGGGCTCGCCGCGTTGATAATCTGCTGGATGATCACATCTGCGACCTCATCAGGTGTCTGTCCAACGCTCGAGGACTTGCCGTATGCCCCCATGGTTGACTGCAGTGGCTTCTGGTACTCCGCTGGCATGGCACTGGTATCTGGCATTTGTGCATTGGCCCAGAAAGCAGACTTGATCGCCCCGGGCTCCACACAGGAGACATGTACACCGAAAGTACGAAACAGTGCTGCCTGGCTTTCTGTCAGGCCTTCGAGAGCAAACTTCGACGCGCAGTAGATATCATTAAAGGGCTGACCCCAGATACCCCCCACTGACGAGATGTTGATGATCTTGCCCGACTTCTGCTGGCGCATGAAAGGAAGCACTGCCTTCTGGCATCTGATAACGCCAAAGAGGTTTGTCTCCATTTGAGCCTTCATTGCCTCCATGGCCAGCATCTCGACACTGCCTGCCTGGCTGTAACCAGCATTGTTCACAAGCACGTCGACACGACCAGCTTCCTTCAATGCAGGGACAAGCCCGTTCTCCACGGAAGCGTCCGTGTTCACATCCACTTCGATTGCGCGGATGTTGCCCGAAACCTCGGCCTTCGTCGCGGCCTCGAGCAAGGAGTCCTTCTTTGCCAAGCTGCGCATGCCTGCAAAGACCAAGTGGTTCCGCGCCAACTTCACACTCAGCGCCATCCCCAGGCCAGAGTTCGCGCCAGTAACAACAGCCACAGGAAGAGCCATGAATGGAACGATCAGGGGTTTATGACGGACTTGGCCGGTAAGGCAAGGCTACGATTGCTGGTCAAGGAATGGCTAGGAGAATGCCCAACACTTCTTGAGGTTCTCCATTCTCTGGACACATCGGGGCCGGGTCTCATGCCCCGACTCAAAAAGCCCTGAACCTTATACCGCCTATACCCGAAGAGATCGGAAGATCCGGGCTGCCTCTGGGCCATGGTAGCGGCCCACCCCGCTGCCCGAGGCGCAGCGTTGCTTGGACAGCAGAGTCGCGGTGATCATGCTGGGTTCGTAGATTTGATTTGGGGATTTGGGGATTTGCCGAGGAATTACGTTGCATTGCGTTGCCATGCTGGGTTCGCTTGGCTTGGAGATGCTTGGAGCTTAGGGATGCGCACGGTCTAGTCTAGGCAACTGTGTAGCCAGGCTGCTCCGCCATGCAGCTTGGAGTTTGCATTTCTTGGACGAGCTTCAGGCCTGCGACGTGGTTTCCACGGCACAGACCACCCTCGCCGGTACTAGCGATGCATGGCTTGGCCTACTTTGACGCCCAGCCACGAAAGAGCACACTTTGGCACACGTGAAACGCAATTCATTAACCACAAAGTCTGGCACTTTCCGACATTGTGCAGGTTGCTGTGGTCGTTCATGCTCATTTTGGTTTTGCTCGAATGTCTGAAATAGCCAGGCCTAATCTCACCTTGCCTCTCAGAGTGGCCGGAACACACGAAACGCTCGGCACCGTTTACCTCTGTCGGTTCTCCAGTGTGGAGCAGGAATCGAACACAACACTTGGAGAGTCAGAGTGGTGTCTGCAGTGCTACGCTGTGCTCTGCTGTGCTTGCCTGGAGTCCGGCTGCCGGGCCAGCAAGCTTGCAGGCTTGATCCTGCAATGTCTGGAGTGTGGTCCCACATTGGCCCACAGATGTCGTGTGGGGGCCCGGCATCGGTGCTGCACGGTCAAAGGCGGCAAACTCCTGGCACTGCTAAGGTCATGACAGTGAGCTGCCCTTGCCGTTTCGAACCTGCGAGAAAGGCACCGGAGCCGCTGTCGCGAAGTCTAACCTCGCGAAGTCGGGAGTGCAAAGCCATCTCTGTGGGCCCCCAAACCTTTAGAGTTGAACTGACTTCTTCTCAGCTCAGCGCTCATCATCCCCCAATTTGCAAGATGCGGCCTAGGCGAACGGAACTTCATCATATTTCATCCGCACATGAAGTTGGCTGCCTTCCTGCATCGCTCTCTCAAGTATCCCACACTGACTAATCAAAAGACCGACCTGAAGCGCTGGTATGCAAATCCATGGTGATGGATCGTGCCCAGAGGCTTCTTGCTGCCGCAGCTGTGCGTGAATTGGACAGCAACCACACTCCAGAAAGAAGATGTGTGCCACGCCAGCGAACTAAAGTTCCACCAGTCCAGTTGCTACTACCGGCATCTGTCGGCGCCAATCTGTCTGACCGTTTCTGAAGCCAACCACATCTGCATGGAAGCAGGTACAGCTTTTTCCTGCAGTCGACGTGGGTGCGGAGGCCATGTCGTCTTGACACAGCAGCTCTCGCCGCCTGAATTACAGCAAGGAGCCTCCGCTGGAAAAAGGGCGCTGCCGCATTTCCAACAGAGCTTCACCCGAATTAGACCTTTGTTTCGGCCCGAGGCGCCTCAGGCGAACTGCTTCGGCCCAGTGCCAGCGATCCCCCGAGGCACGGCGGTTGGCGCGTGGCGGCCCTGCGTCGGCCGAGCACTTTGGAGCTGAGCCTCTCAGGTTCAAGCGAGTCAAAGCCGAAGCGGAAACGGCTGAAGTCTAAGGTTCCTTTACAAACTCGCATTTGGGAGGCTCTGGCAACAAAAAACGTTGAAAAGCAAAGCCTGAACTACGCACTACTGCTCCTGCTAGCCTTGCCTTCAGTCGGTGCTGCGCAATCTCCTGCTGCAGAAACCTCTGCCGCAACCTCTCTCGGCAATGTTCGATTTGAAGCTGGAGGGTACGATTTTCTTTCACCGTCTCCTCCAGAATCCTGGCATGCACAATGGCTGGAAGATGCTGGAAGTATGCGAGGGTTCCTCCAAAGCCGTGAACTTCAAGCCAGGCCTTGCGGGGTCCGACCCTGCAGCCGTCTGCCGAAGGGAGCCTCCGGGGCAGCGGGGCCCGGACGCACAACCAATGGATCCTTTGTAAACTTCTGCTGTAAGAATGCAGGCTCTTCAGCATGACTGACAGCTAACACTGGAGCGCCGGCCTGCAGTTGCCACACCAGAGAGGACAGCTGCATCGGGGCTTGACGGAGGAGGTGCGATTCGGGCTGTTCTGCTGGCACGTTCAAACCGTTCGATGTGCCTCCTTAGTCGACAGATGTCGGCAGCCCAGAATGTATGATGGGGAGCCGGAGATGGAAAAAATCGTTGCAAAAGCTGCCAAAGTGTCGACATGCTCTTAATGGCATTGCCGATGTCCAAGGCCCGTTCCTTGTCCGACGTTGCGGGCTGTGCTTGCTCACAGATTGCCGCTTTACCAGCTTGCTCTGCTGGGGACGAACCCGGCACCGAAGCACCAGAGTCCGCCGACACCTCCTTGCCGGTGCCATAGCCATGCACATCTCGGATGCCATCGCTCCCCACGTCCGCTTCCTCCACTTCCTCTGCTGCTGCTTCCGGCAGCTCATCGAAGCTCCCCAGGTCGCTCGTGGCGTCCTCTGCATCGCCCGCGGCTAACTCGCCCTCTGGCTCGTCAAAGGCCTTACGACACGGCAGGAGTAAAACCCCCGCTTGGGCAAAGGCCTCTGAGCCCTGAACAGGCTGGGGCAGCTGAGCCTGCTCATAGGCCTCCTTGCCAGTGGCCATGACCTGCAGATCACGATCCTGTGCGCAACTTATCTGCACACCTCACACACCCGAAGAAGCGTCTGAGCTCGGGTCTGGAGGGGATCCCTCACTGGGCGACTGCAACGCAGCCTGTGCACCGACGGAAGATCTCTGGCCACTTTTTGACTTCAGAAATCGCCCCAACTTGACTCAATATTTGACCAAGTGTTCCGCTTAGCCTCTGGAGCTTTCTTTCAACCACAAGAACAGCCGGCAGACATAGAACTGATAGAAAAGCAAGGTAAAGACTGAAGCAACCTGATGGAAGTTGTCTTAGAGGTATTTCCTGCGCCTCGATGCTCTTGTCGAGAACGCCACGTGCGGCACCCAAGGCGTCCTTCTCCGCAGTCAATGCACCAAAGAGCAAGAGTGCTGGCGCGACGAACAAAGGGAAAGAGCTCCAGTTTGCTCGGTGCAGGCATCCGGTGAGATGCTGGGTTCTCAGATCCTTCACTCATGGCCTTCTAGGCAGCCCCGTTACAAACTTGTTTGGATGAAGTCGCAACTGCGCGCTGCCTGTTGGGACAAGTAGACCTATGATGGGAAATGATGGGAACACATGGGTCTCGATTTCTGAATCCTGCCATTCCACTCGCACCGGTCCGTCTGAGTCCATCCTAGCCCTCGCGGTCCTGGGCCGCACTGTCGGCAGCACTTCGGGCATCCAGGAGCTTTGCCTGGTTGTTTCGACGTTCTGAGCTGGTATTGATTGACTGAGTGATTGATTGCACGCTGGATCGATGGATCGCTTAATTGACAGCTTGCTTGCTTGATGGACTGATGGATTGATTGATTGTGCTGAGTACTCGGGTCGCACAGTAACTTGATGCGCCAAGAATAGGTCCGCGAATCTAATCCAGAACCCAGACCTCCCAGTTGTCTTAACCCTGAGCCTGAATCACCTGGCCCATTGCCCTGGCCTCCAATTTGCTCAGCTCCTTGTGGAGGCCAGCCGCCCGCAGCTGCAAGCCGTCCACGTCGTCCATGTCTGACCCCTGATAAGGTGCCTCCGAATTGCATGCACGACGCCACTAGCCTGACTGCTACAAGTATGTTCTGTGGCACATGTGACACCTCGGGTTTCTTGCTAAAGCGACGGAACAGCTGCCTGCAAACCCCGATTCCTGGCCTGCTCTTGCCAGTAATCCCGGTGATGCTCGCGGCACTCCAGGCTCGACTGCTCGTGCTCTTGCGACAGCGTTGCATTCCGCTCCTTCGAGAAGATTGCAGAATCCAGGCCGTGCGAGACTTTACTTTACGATGATGGATACCTGACGGGTGTGCTGAGGGATGTGTCCTGAACACAGGAGAGGTCCGCCACTTGGTGGTCACCGAGCTGGATCAAGGACTGGAAGGCACTCTCCAAGGTCTGCACCTCTCGATGCAAGCCATCAACGTCCAACTCGGCGCGGATCCCCGAGAAGCCCCGTTTCCTGATCCCTTCAGCCTCGAGCTTGAGACACTCGTTGAGTCGGCGCCGTTCAGTCCTGAGCGCCCAAGGAGTCGAGGAGTGACTTGCCTGTTCTGCCTGCTCTGCCTGCTCGTGGCCTCAGCCTCGTCTGAGCCTCTCACAGGGCAAGGCTGAGCCTCGAAGCCTCGACCCTCCATGCGGCTGCCGTCCGCTGCACTGGGCTGCTGCAGAGCTCCGGCTCAGGCGCTTCCCGTGAGCCTTGCGCATCTCCTTCCGCGGCTTCTTTGCAATTCAGAGAACCGCCCGCGACCTCGCCGGTCGTAGCGACGCTCTGCCCTTCAACTCCTTCAGGTCTGGCTCTGTCCCCACTTTGCAGCTGCTTCCGCAAAGTCGCAGAGGCTTCTCGCGCCACGGAAAGGCGTGCCAAGGAGGGTTCGGGATCGACCTTCTTCAAGGAATCCTTCAGCCGCAGCAAGGCACCCCTCCTCTGTAAGCAAATCGTCTGCAGAGCCTTGACCTGCAGCAGCGGTTTCACGTGTTCCGGACACTCAACATCAGGCGATGTCTTCGCTGCAGTTTCTGTGTCTCGTGGGGCACTCTTCCAGCAAAGCCAGCTCTTCAATCGCATTCCGTCATCTTGCAGAGTTGCAGATGCACTGCTTTTCACATTCAAGACTACTTACATAGGCAAGGGGGGTGAAAGGGGTGCGTGTAGAAGCATGTTTGTGTTTGCATGTCACCCTGTGCCGCGAGCTTTGTGCTGCCCCGCATGCAGTCAATCAACCAAAGATTCCCACGTTGTAGCCCTGGGCAAATGCTGTGCCAGGTATACTGACTACCGAGACACAGACATGTGACTCCATGGATGGCATGGGCTTGGAACCGAAAACCTTCTGAGCTTTGCAGCTCTGCTCGAGCTGGAGAAGATGCTCCCGGCAAACCGTACGGCTGGCACGGGGCCCGGGGCCCAAACTTCAGGAAATCGAAAGCTCTGAACGGCCGTCGACCTCGACCGGCCATCCGACCTGCCGGGGCGGGGCAGGGCGGGGCCGATGGCGCAGCGGGGCCAGCTGAAACCGGAAAGGCGCCTCTGACTCTGCGCGCTGGGCTTCGGCCGCAGCGATGGCATCTCGCAGACGCTCCTGGAATTTGGGACCACAACGCCTGGAAGGCGAGCCGAAAGTTCACAGTTCACGCCGGTCTCCTGTGGAGAGGGCTATCGCTCAGCGCAGTCTCACACTCCGCGATCGCTGCCGGGGGAGTAGGCTGGACTTTCTTCTCCGCATCCTTGGCTGATGTTCGTCGGACGGGGTACCCGCAAAGGGACATGTTGCCGCCGCGGTGCGGTTGCCGCCGCACCGCTAGGGCGCAAGGGGCCAGTGTCGTTCTTTGGACCTGGAGCACTTGCTGCGATCCGGCCGGCATGTCCTTGGCGGCACATCTCTCACCGTCTGGTGGCATCGGGGGCTGAATTACGGAAGAGGCAGCCGACGCAGCAGGCATCCGCTACAAACGACATGAACTAACGCAGGCAGTCGGGACGATGCGCCATCTGAAGTACCGTCCAAGGCCAAGGGTCTCTCTCCGCCTTGCTCGATCACGGGTGAGTCCGAGGAGGCCCAGCCAAGCTTCAGATGCCGCGTCTGGGTCTGTTCCGGCGGCGTCTCCTGCGACCAAAGCTGCATGGAGCCGCGGTGCCCCCAGGCAAATCAAAAAAAGCGTGTCAAGTTGAAGGGCGCATGGCATTAATCATATCGACACATGACATGTCCTGAAGTTGGGGCCTGCTCGGCTCCCCATCGGCCACCTCGCAAAACGGAAGCTTTGTCACATCCAGTGAAGCTTCCGTGCAGAAAAGCCACCGGCTGCAGAGTCTCCATCTGACTGTCGGTCTTCGGCCGGACACCTTCTAGCCATCATTGAATCAGCGGGCACAGACTGGACTCTAGACAACTGCAAACATGGTGAGCATCTCTGGTACCCTGGTACCGCCTGGTACCTGACCCGTGACCCCTCTCCCTCGGCCCGGCGGGGCCTGGGCCTTTCGCTTTCTCACTCCTCGGACTGGCCTCCCCACGAGTGCAGGCAACAGGCTCCCAGCCGCCCCGTCCCAGCTGCCTTTTGCAGAGAGTTTCGGCTCGTATCCCGTGAAGCCGAACGATGGCAGACCTTTCGCACCCACAGCAACGGCATAGCGTCATAGAGACCTTCTGTCTCCTTCTAGGTACTGTCGCTTCATTTCTGATGCCCTTTGAGCTCGGTTGCGATCTTCATTTAAACCTTCAGTCCTACGTGGAGGACTCGACTCGGAATCCGATGACCCTTTTCACTTTGGAGCTCCCATAGCTGGGTGCCGAGCGGAGCGCCGCTCAATGACGGCCGAGCGCCGTCGCCTCACGCAGGGCCGCAGGGTTTAGGGTGCGAAGGAAAGGAGTCGCTCTGGCCTTGATACGATGGTAGCAGCATGAGAAGCACTCACGAGAATCACAGACTCGCGTCTACTCGAAGTATTGCATTTGGACGCTGCCCAGTGTGAGGAAGACATGTGATGGAAGACGCGGTGATGGCCCAACTTGAAGAAGTCTCCACCACTCTGCAGCAAAGGCCCGAGCGGCATCGTCGCATCGACTTCGCTTTGCGACCTGTCCATGGCCATGGCTCGCTGGGGCCTCTCGCTTGGCATCCCTTCGCGCTCTGAATTCTCTGAAACTCTGCCTTGGGGTCCGCTGTGACTGGGCGCTTTGCTGCGGCTGCTGGCCTGGCCCGAGCGAGGGCACAAGACTAGAAGCCCCAAACAAGAAAGGAAAAACCTCCGTGTGTCTGTGTGTCCTTTTCCGGCCTTTTCTTCTCGGGGAGGAGCGGCGCTTCGCCGCCGTGATTTTCGGTGCCTCTTGGGCCTTTTGGGCGCCTTGGGCCCCTTGCTGGGCCTCCTCGGCCTCCTGGAGAAGTTGATCCCAGAGGCTTGGCTCCAGGTTGGGTGCCGCCCGGTCGCTGGCAAAGGCAGCTGCGGCCCGCAAACCACGAGAGGGCGAGTCAGCGGCATCCCTGCATTCCTGGACCACCTGGGCCTTCGGATCCTTCACCTTCCTCGGCTTCGCCTCCTCCGTACTTTCGCCCCTCTGTTCTGCCTCCAATCCAGCAGAAAGTTGCTGGGACTTCCCCAGTACATGAGTCAGCCTCCTTTCTTGCTGATCCTGCAGATCCTGAAGCTGCTGCAGCTCCTCCGCAATCCTGGCTTCCTGCGCTTCGCCTGGGACCGACTTAGGCTTGAGCTTGCTGGCCTCGACTGTGACAGCGCTCTCACGCTGCAGGTCTTTCCGAGAGAAAGGGCAGACCGTCTTCTGGGCGCTGTCCTGACGCTCGCTGCTGCCTTTCGATCTTGGTGTCGATGCCTCACCACCTTCCACCACCGCTCTGGCTGTCTGCGCTGCAGCGATGGCTTTTTTCCATGCAGCACGGCTCCTGAGCCCCGCAGCGCAAGGAATCGCTGCTGCAGGCACTGTTGCACGGCGCTGAAGCCTTGCGTTGTTCGGGTTGATGGATGATGTGGCTGCCGATGAAGCAGCTGGGGCTGAAGGATGGTCTAGAAGCTCCAGAACATCCGCAGCGACGGGTTGAACGGGTTCCACACTGCTAGGTGCTTCGACCCTGGCCTTCTGTGTTGCGATGTAACCGCCAGTGCTCGGTCGACGCCGATCTGACATGGAAGCCTTCTGGGCGACATGCCTCGCCCTGCCTTGGCTACCGGAAGTCCCTCCGATCTTTGAAGCACCTGCAAGAATGACAAGCGTGGAAAAGCATGCCTCTGTAACAGAAGAACTTCCTGAACAGCGTTTGCCAATCTTGCTTGTGATGGCCTAGCGTCGCGCCATCGTGAGAAGTATTGTGAGGGCACTGCTAGCAAAATGGCATTATGATCCAGGATTCCAGGATTATTCGGGGCGCCTGGTCCATTGCAGGCCCCGAGTGTGGCCATGCTTGGCCTCAATTGCAATTACAATGGAGCGGACATGGCAGCAACAACAAATCAGGAACAGTAAAGACAACAGCCGCCCATCATTGCTACTCAGCAACAGCTACAACAAGCATCATCATGACACTTGTCGCCCCTGCGATTGACTACCATTACTATACTGCTGCCATGTCAGTGTCACTTCTTGTTGCCAATCTCACTATGTTCTCTGCAGTGCCCCAGATCATTCCAGCCACGAGAAAGACGGCCCAAGCTCACCCTGCGCCCGAAAACACAGATCGAGACCCTGAACCCGGAATGCTTTCGAGCGGCCGGACATCATCGGCTTTCTGCCCGTATCGCAGACGAGCAGAGGAAGGCTCCCCTCAGAGAGACTTGCACTTCTCGCAGTCATAATCTGAAAGGTTGAAAGCAGCAGCCACAGCAGTACAGGCAACTGCAATAATAAGTATTCACAATCTCGACCTGAGTGTACTACTAAGTTACTACTACATCCCCATAGTGTCACAATGGAAATTTGCAGCATCCTGATCTGTGCCAATGTCTTAATTTCTTGCAGGCGACGGCTGATGGAGCGCGGAGACTTGCGAGCCACTCGCGCATAGTTTGCCTGACTATGGGCATACATCATCCTAGTCAGGACAAGGGACTGAAAGGTCGACCCTGCAACTCAGGCTGCAAGCCACCTCCTTGCGCAGCATCTGCGTCAGCCGTGAGAGAGCCTTGCAACCGCTCACATGTCAGAGCCTGAGGCAGCCATCATTCTAGAAGCCGGTGACAAGCAGGAAGAAATTACTGCTCCGGTCTGAGATCGAGGTCGTCCAAGTGCATCTACCGGCTCTGAACCAAATCGTTTTGTGTGAAGGTGCTGCACATTCCCGAAGACGACTAGTGACTAGCGAAGGGAGACATTGGATGGCAGCACCGAGCATGGCGTGGGCTTCTTTGCTCAGAGCCGCACGGATGCTTCCCCACCTCTGCGGGATCCAAGATCGTGCGGGTCGTTACGGGGCTTGCGGTTGAAGTGTTGGATTGGGCCATACCCTGTACCACTGTGCTATGAATATAACTCGACGTGCGGCCATAGGTTCGGATCAGTCAACCTGTCGAAAACTGTCGATGAGGAAACTCTCAAGATCCTGGCCCTTGCTGAGCCCATCGAACTGCTGATCGTAGCTGACATCCGGCGGCTCCACCACCTCCATATGAGATTGTTTGAGTGTAAGGTACCTAACTGCGTTCCTCCTGTCACCTTCACCATGTTGAGTTCTGCTTCTTGGGTACAACCTTGTGAAGCAGGAGTTAAAAGCCGTCCCATGCATGAAGACGACAGAGAGCGCCGCCGCCCAAGTAAGGGTGTTGCCTTGCCGGGCGGAGTCGCATAGCAATACACCACTGACCACTCCAGACACCGAATAACACTTGACATGCTCCGGAACTTTGGGACCCAGGGCCACTCGGCTGTCCGACACCCTGGTTCTGAACCCGGGTTGCAGCCGGGTTGAGTCTCCCAGGCATCCGCCACTGCGCAACACGAATGCTCAGGCCGCGTCAACGCGTTTTCCTAGGCGCAGGAGAGATCGACACAGTCTGCATGAAGAGCATCCAGAGCTGTAATTTCGTGGGAACGGAATTCGCAGGGAATCATCCTCGTGTTTTCGTCCGTGAGACCCTGAGACCCTGACAACAGACAGCCGTCGCGAAGGGTCAAAGCACAATAGCTTGTGGAGAAAGTCTTCACCTAGGAGGTGCAAACATAACTGCCAGGCGTAACAGGAATAGTTACAGTAATAGCAGCAATAGTACTAGCAATAGCAATAGTAATAGTAATAGTAATAGTAATAGGCCTAGCTTCAAGTCGCAATAAAGCGAACGCCAGTGCCCATGCTGATGGACTCACGAACGCCCGACGCATAAGTCTTGCGCCGGTCTCTGCTGGGATGCCAGGCCTGAGCAGTTCCCGGGCCCCAACCAGCCCAACCACCTGCATCTGCAACTCGTATTTACCAGTCGTTATTGAGTTGCTCTGGATCTTCGCTGTATAGTATGCGTGTTGTTTCACGAGGGCAAATCATAGTGCTGGCACTACTGCTCTACTACGGCAGCTACAGTGGCTCGTGCTGTCGGCATTCTCCTTGTCAGTACTGCATTGGCAGTACTTCTATTCTTCCAGTATTGCAACGATAGCTCTTGCTACTTGTTTTGCGTTGTACTCACCCCGGCGGCCCTACTCACTGTACTTTGCGTCTCTGTCTTGCATAATACTGGGCCTTATGACATTACTGCTGCTTGCAGTGTTTGCACTATTTGCATGTATTGCGAATTCTTCCCGTAACCTCCCCTACTCACTCCACTCTTTCTCCATCCCCGGAGTGCTTGTGGTGGGAAGAGTCCCTGTCGGTATTCCGGGAGGCCCCGCATCTTCGCCGGGCCAACTCCCCGAGGCCGAGCCGTGGGAGCCAGGGCTCGAGACAACAGGGACCTGGACTCCTGCAGAGGGACCGGGGCTAAAAGGGGGTTTCGGGGGGGCTTTGGGGGGGCTTGCAGGCTTTTTGCCTCGGTCTCTGCATGGCTTACCGAATACTGCATGCCCCGGAAAGCTATGAAGCCAAGTAAGGCGCTGCCATGAGAAGCTGCAGCGCCAGAAGGAAAATGTACGCAACTCCGCAGTCATCAGCGCCTTCGGAACCCACCACTGATCCCTTGGCAGCCACAGGATGTGCGCTTCCTCTTTCATGCAATTTCCGACCTGTCTCGAAGTGCCGTAGGGCGCAGACTGCTCAGTCGGTGTCCCCAAGACGCCCATGACCTGCGAGCACAAAGCTCATAGGGCAGCAAATGCAAAGCTGTCAGACCCTTTGCTGCCTTGGTCAACTGATCCACGCTGTTCTTGCCAGGGAAGAGAGCCTGCGATGTGTGTCCGTTTGTTGTTAAGAGCTTTCGATGAACTGCTGGCGCCATTAGAGACCCCAAGAACAAGAACTTTGCAAGCGGAAAGCCCTTTTTTTGGAGGACAGGACCTTGGCCGTCCACATCTCGTAGAGAATGCAGCCGACGGACCAAACATCAACTTTCGGCCTGGCTTTGGCTATGGGAAAGTGCTTCGAATGGTCCGGAAGTGATCTGCTGGCAAAGGTGCCCGATGGAATGTTTTTAGGGGAGGGCTTGCCACTTGGGGCTTTGGGTCGAGAGCAGCAGAACTACCCAGTGCTTGCTAAACAACCATATTACGGTTTGCACCCGGATTGCAATGCACTGCCCGGCTGGCCCATACTTGGATCTTGCCAGCAGCACTTCTGGCGCACGATACCTGCAAAGCTCCAAAGCGACAAGTGCATTTCGGGTCGGCTTCTGACTTGGTCGACAAGCAAGACCTGCAGTTACCGAGTACGGCCAATAGGGCAACCTCAAAGCCGTCCCTGTGCACACCAGCGGGTGACCACGTACTCGGTGAGATGTTCTTCCAGAGGGTGGAGAGCCTGCAGTGAAAATGCAAAGACACGCTGAACTGAGTCCATTCACGTTAGGCAAATGCTTCCCCGCCTCCCCCGAGAAGTCTACAGCGATTCCTCGGCTGAGACCCAGATCCCCGATCTTGACCTGATGGATAGGCTCAAAGGATTGGGGCCTAGTTTTGGCGATTTCTGAACACAGGGGACTTCGATCTTGCTGCAGACACAAGCTTTCGACGCCCAAGTTGCACTCCGGGACTGGTTGTGTTTTAGACCCCTAGACTGTTCGTGAAATCATGCATGCCACTGAGGATCAACGATCGCATCAGTCACATGTCAAGAGAAACAGCACGAGCAGCACAACCCGCCTCACCTTGATTGAACCTATCTTCCTAGTACATATGACTACCAAATGGTGTCTTGTCGCTTTTTCTCCGTATGATGCTACAGTTGCGTCACTGATTTTACACACACCGGATACCTTGCCACCACGCAGTCTCCTCTGCAGGACACTGCTTGACAACCGTGACATTGATGACGGCAGGAAGACGACGATGATGATGATGGTGCCGATGATGATGTAGGTGACTAGACAGTGATGAAGACGACGATAATGACAATGATGATGATGGTGATGATGGAGACTGTGGTGATGATGATGATGATGAGGAGAAGGAGAAGGAGGAATAGGAGCAGGAGGACACTGACGTGAGACGAGAGAGCTGCTGTCTGTCATCATTAACTGAACATGCAACGCTTAAAGTCATGATGCTTAGCATGTTCATGATTGTCAAGACTTAAGGTCACTAGCCGAGGCAGGCAGAAGCAGCGGCTACTAGTTGCGAAGAGTCGCGGTAGCAGTCGCTGCATAGTAGCACCAGGAGCAGGCGCAAGAGGAGCAGTAGCAGTAGTCGTCCTCTGTGTTGCGGCCGGACGCGCAGGTGCTGGTGTGGGGTGCTTGTGAGTCTGCTACTGCCACGCGTGAGGGCTGTAGCAGTACCACAAGTGCTGCTTGTCAGGCTGGGCAGCGACAAATCCAGGCACCAATCCTAAACTGGAAACCACAACCTTGTACCCTAGCCCTAGGGCCCTTAGGCCCAAGAAGACCAGAAAGGATCAGTGCTTCTCTCTTCTGAGGAGCCCACTTCCAACTCTTTGAGGCGGACGAAGATGTTCGCCGGCTTTAGATCCTCCGCTATCGAGCTCAGTTCTTCAGCACTTGATGCCTTTAGGGTACGAGTCGTCTGAACCAGCAAAAACTGTGCCATTTACACCATCAGTCCCGTTTGCTTGGCACCATGCAATAAAACTGTATTGGGCGGTTCGAAAAGACGTGTATAGGTTGCCTGCAGCCACCCGGGACAGCGACAAACATGACCTGGACATGTCTGAAGCGCAGAGTGTCCCGGTGGATCACGTGTCCGAGATGGAGATGAAGGAGGCCAAGCAGGATCTGCCAGGAGATTTTTTGATTGCATCTAGAAGAAAGCTATATACATGCATACACGCACGATAACATATACGATTGTAAACTGTAAATATACATACTAGAAGTTGGCGATCATATATAAGAACATACATCTCATGATAATACATAGACATCCACAAGCATCTTATATTTATATAGAGACTAGATTTGCAATACGTATACACATAAATACATACATACATACAGACATACATACACATGTACATACATTCATTCATACGTAAACGTAACACCTTCCCGAAGGGTTTCAAGGCTTCTTGTCGGAATCGACCGCCTGCGCACAGAAGCGCTTGGCCACGGACTCCTCGAGAGGGGCGCCGCGGCCTGCACCGCAGCTGCCAAACCCGCCAAACAGCTGCGCTCTGAAAGGCTGTTCTGAAAAAGCTCGAGCAAAATAAATTACACCCTGGCCAGGCCTCTCACGAGCCTGTCCAGATCGCAGTCCATCAACCTCGTGAGAAAAAACAACCGACACGACACCTGACAAGGGTCCTCAGTCTTCCACGGGTCCTCTTGCAAGGTCCGTTGAGGAGCTGGCTCCATGGAGATATACAGCTCGCCGCCTGCGAGTCCGACTTAAAACGGGAAGGCGTCTGCACTCTTCTGCTGAAGGCCGCTACCTGACTCGACCAGTAGGACCTGGGCTGCGCAGTGCGACTCGCAAGGCCAAGGCAGCAGCTCTGGGCTTCGAGCATCGTGAAGCTGCAAGAGGTTCGGATGGCAGAAGTGTCGCATCAACTTGATCTCCCTCAGCCTGGGCAGAATCCAGAACACGGGCACTGTGTTTTTCGTGCCGCTCTCACATCGAGAAGGCGGCGTGCGCCGCAACATGAGGAAATTGTCGAACACCCTTCGCCTCAGGAGGTTTGAAGAGCCTTTCTTTCCCACTTCCCTGCTACCTGGGAGGTTTCCGAAGATAGGGGAGCCCAATACAGTACCCTAAATGATAGGATCCTTATTATAAGGACTGCAAAAGAGCCTATCCCCCAATTTTCGGAAACTCCCACTTGACCGTGAGACTTTCGGCTGGCAGCCCGGCACTCGTTTCACTGCCACTTCCTTTCCTCTCGTGACATCGCGGAAGGAGGCGACAACCCCTGTCATGGTTTAGGGTTTAGTTTAGGGTTTAGGGTTCAATTAGGGTTTAGGGTTTAGGGTTATACCAGGCCATATCATGTTGCCCATGCCAATACAAGGACTTGTTGGAACCGGCAGGACATGGCTCATGATGCCCTGAGTTGCGGGACCGAACTGCTCGATTACGATCTCGTAGCCTTCATAATTGCCCTCTCCCTTGTCGTTCTATCTGTCCCGAGAACCTTCTACCAAACCACGGCACCAATAAACCTCAACTGTCGGAACCCACACGCTTCGACAAGAGCTCTTGGCTCTTTTGTTGCACCAATGCTTCAGAGCAAGACCAGGCAGGCACGCCATAGCTGCCACTGCCCAGCAGCTTCTGGAACTGATACCTCATGCTTGCCGTGAAATCACGGTGTGCTGTCAGTATTCCGTGACGTTAACCACGGCAGCTCCCATAAAGCTTCAAGAGTGACGCGAAGTACAAGTGCTGTAAGTCTGAAGCGATCTGCAAAGAGACAACACTGAATGAAATGGTGCCGAGATCGATCTTAATCTTGATCAGTGGCTCGCTACCATTAACGCTGCAAATTGAATACTATCGACTACTGCACATACTTCAACTACCGTTGCTGTTGCTGACCACCAACACCACAACCACGACAACAACAACTGCTACTGCTGCTGCTGCTACTGCTTCTGCTGCTGCTAGTGCTGATGCGACTGCTACTGCTACTGCTGGTGCCACTGCGGCTGCGACTGCTACTGCTGCAACTATTGGCTGTTGCCCTGTTCTTGCTACTACTGATGCGCCTCCTACTGCTACTTCTAGTGACTATTCCTCCTCCTCCTCCTCCTCCTCCTCCTCCTCCTCCTCCTCCTCCTCCGCAGCCACTGCTACTGCGGCGTGGGCCGGCACCGTCTGCTATTACCACTTCTGGTAAGTTTACCACTGCAGCTGCTCTACTTCTACTGTTGCGTGCCTGTGGCCTCCAGCTGCAAGTGCCCGTTGCCGTTCTCACTTCTGCCGCTCTTACTTCTGTTGCCACGACTCCTGCCCACATCACCACCACTACCACCACCATCAGCTTCTTCCTCTTACAAGATCAACAACTTCAGGCGGTTGCCGTGGTGGCAGCTGGAAGCTCGTGGGCTCGCTGCCCAGAACCTTGGCGGTCTCACCACTCTCTGCAATGGCTTATCAGTACCACTGACCAATGTTACTGCTGCCGCAATGCATTATTTATTATTCTTCTTACCTTGCTGACTGTCACTGAGATTAATTACTATTGTTCTCAATTGTCTTACTGCCTTTCCTCGCGTTAATGATGATTTGAATAGTGCTACCGCCTCACTAGAACCAGTACGATTCATGTTCCGTTGGCACATCAATCAACTTTGGACTGCTGAAGTGGAGCAATGCAAATCCTTGAACCAAACGATGGAATCCAAGCCGAAGCTCTTTTGCCCACATCAAGCTTCCGTTCCAGAACGTCAAGTCTGTTTCACGGCTCTGCATCCCGAGGCTTGGGCGCTCCGAGCTGAGCGGGTGCGAAGCATCGCAGCATATGGGCCCGAAGGCTGAGGCCCGAAGGCCAGTTGGCGATGTCTCTGAGCTTCTGAGTGCTTCCGGTCCGGCATGAGCAGGTCTTCTTGGACTTTACTTTCCATGGTGTGTTGTGGGAGCGAGCTCATCGGGCACGAATCGGACTGCTCGACAGGCACAATGGCTGACGCTTGCGCCGTTTATATCTGCGAAGACTGGCCGCGTGAGCTACGGGCTGAGCTGCACTCGCCTTGTTTTGTGAGGCCTGCCGGAACCACGGGCAGTTTGGCGACGACCAGAGGTCGGGCCCAGATAACAAAACGTGGACTACCACTGAGTGGTCTCTCGAGCTGTCGGAAAATCATCTGCAAGGATTTCGATAGGATGGGATGGACATTGTCCTGCTCTCCTATCGCTCTGCATTCGAATATGTTGAACTAACCACAAGAGTCGTGCAGTATTCGCATTGCGTAACTATGCCTCCCCCTGCAACGGCATCTAACACAAAAAACAGGGCATGTTCCATCCTTCATCGTTCTTTCGTGTTCGAAAAACTGCTGCAATGGAACTGGCTGCAGCTCATAGCATTACTCCAGTTCGCAAGTAGTCTGCGACCTGTTGGCAGCTTGCCGGCCGGTCACGGAGGGCAACGAAGCATCGATTTAGACTTCCGACTGAACCAGATGCTTCTACCCTCAACCCTAAACCCTAAATACGTCAGACAACGGCAGCTGCACCAGAGCTATGTCCCGACAGCGGTAGGCCAGGCTCAGCTGGGCAGCGTATTAAAAGCGCCCGTTCAGTGACGGCATTGGGGTGCCTGGACATCCAAGAAGGCGTACCGGATGCAACTCAAAGGCACAAGCATACCATGTGTACAACAAGCATGGCGAGCAGTCGACCACCTGTGGATCAGAAGACTTCGGCCAGATCCTGAGATGAATTCGCCAATGCAAGATTCCAGTTGCCTCTGGGCCTTTCGAGGGTCGGAAAGGTGCAGAAAACGTCTGGTCAGCCGCCCGCTCAGGACCACACCCAAACGCCAACGGTTTGATCCAGGTCAGAGTTCCACTTCTTCCACGTCCTCCGAACGCTCTTCCACGCCGTGCCCAGCGGTCTAATAGCAGTCCATGATCCAGCTTTTTCGGATGGGCACCGCGGGTCACTGCCCGGCAAAACCACTGCATGCGACTCCAGGCACTACTTACCCCACTTCTGCGAACTTAATACACACCGGCAAGCATTCCCCGCTGCCCAGGCAACGACACTTATTCCCTGCAGCCGGAGTCTTTCGTATCTCCCCATAGTCTTTTGACCGCACAGCCTGGCGCAAGGTCAACACATCGGACTGTCCAGCAGGACGAGCGATTCCATGGCGCCTTTTCGAATTCCTTCTGGTCTGCCTTCAGCTGGTTGACGATGGGTTCCTGCTCCCAGGAAACTTCGTGCAGGCAAGTCCAAGTACGAATGGCTCCCGAGAAAACGCGGCGGGAAGGCGTTGGGGTCAGTCTTGGACACTCGCTGGATCAGGCTGTAGCCACTTGGCGAGAATGCAGGCTGGAAACCGTGAGTCAAAGCCTTGCAAGGACTTCGCTGAGTTCTGTGCTCCATTGCCGTACTCAACTTGGGAAGGTCCTGCAGAAATGGCAAGAATCGAGATCGTGGGGCAGCTCTGTGCTAGAGTTCCCCGGAGGCTCCTTCTTGATGAAGCGGTCAATGCCATCTTCAAACCTGGACCGCTTCACGTCCAGGACCTTGGGCCTCGAAGCTAGCAGGGATACCTCGCCTGAAGGACTGGGACTGGGGCCCCGGCTGGAAGCCGTTGTTGATGGAATCAACAAGCGCCGTGCCATTGGCCCGTGTAATCCTGGAGCCAGGCTCATGGCTGGGAGAGCCTCGGGCCTCTCCACCTGATCTCAAAAGACATTGAGGGAAGAGCATGCAGCCGTCCAGATCGGGCTTGCCCTGGTCTCCTGATGCTGATCACTGGCGAGGAGAGTAGAAACGCGGTGATAGCCGCCACTTAGACTTGAGGTACTTGTCCGACTGCATGCGTTCTTGGGCTCAGACCCATCATGAGGGTCATACCCTTCTCTACAGCTGCACTCGAAGCCTGCCATGCTGAACAGTGCGGCAAGCAGCGTCACCTCTTCTCCCAGTGCTTTCTCAAGCAAAGCTTTGCCGGCAGCACGCCGCTGAGGGCGTCTCCAGCCTGGAGCACACAGTTTCATCGGCATGCACTAGCAGCCGCCAAACAAGATGAAGATCCTGCGCTGCGCGCAAAAAACAAAGCCTGACATGCCCGATTCCCAAGATAAGACGTTGCCTGGTAGGATTGGATGCCCTTGCTAGCCACTCGTCCCGTCCTCAGATCGGGTGTTTATATCCGGCAGACTTCACTTGTTGATAAAATTTGGGGCGAGTCGCCTGTTCTGCTGCTCCAGGGGTGCCTTCGACATCTTCTCGTCATAGACGATGATGGCCTTAGCACCTCAGGCCAAAGGAACCAGAGTCTCGTCGATGTGAGTATCGCCGCAGCTGCACCTGCTGCCTTTGCCATCTGGGCCTGGACACGACACGGCGCCGAGCGACGACGCGACACGCCGGGCGACACACAGCTAAAAGCGGACCAGCGGCGCCAGCGGAGCGCGACGCGACCCGACGCGTGCAGGCCTTCTGCTCGAAGGTGCAGATTCCTCTGGCGACCAAGGCGATGCTGCCCGCCTCGCTGAAGCCCAGGCCCGGGTGTCCAGGGTCGACATGAGAAGAAAGCTTTAGCTCGGGGGCCCAGCTTCCAGCTTGTAAGGCGTGCAGCCATACTTCCCATCCAGTTGGCCCACGACCTGAAATGTCCTCGGAATTGCCACTGGCTTCCTGGGATGCCTCCACAGCAGATACCTCGCGTCGAGTGCTAAGCAAGCCGCCCGTCGAACTTGTTGTCCACGCCGGAGAACCACTCAGCAGGCCGAGCCTCGTATTGCATCATGCTGCCATCGCTGCTCCCGATTCCTTCGTGGCGTTTTTGCAGAATCTTTGCTGGGCTGCATGCTCGAAACTCCACCCGGCTGCCGGCCTTAAAGGAATGGGGAAGAGAGCCTCTGTCGGCCGAGGACGGTGGCTTTTAGAGAAGGCCCAGGCTGCCAGCTCCACTTGGAGAAGGAGGTCATCTCGGAGGCCTTCTGAAACTCAAAACTCAAAAGCCTGCTCAGCCGTCCTCCCTTGTAGAGAAGCAGATCGAACGAGTCGCGGACCCTCCAGCTTCTGATAATACTTTCCTTAAGCAGGAGGGTGTGTGTGTGTGTGTGTGTGTGTGACACTGCACACTTTGGGCGGATGCCAATGCAGACAAGCAAATAAACGAACAAGAACGCGAACGCAGACACATGCTTACTTCCTCGGAAACTAAGCTTGCTAGCTTGCGGGCTTGTCAGACAACTCTGCCAGTCAACTAGCTACCATAGACCCAAACAAATATCAGCTAGCCAAGCAGTGCAACTGCCAGCATAACAATGTTCCGCATGTACCTAGAATCTAGAATCTACACATACACTGCCATGTACCAACACGAGCCATGTGTAAATCAGGGTGACCAGACTACAGATGCAGGCCAGTATCGAATCTTCGGAACAAGCTGCTGCTTGGCATTGAAAATGCGATCCACCCTGCAGAGAGCACAAATGGGAGTTTCTGACAAAAAGTGCTTTTGGGGGGGGTCCTTATAAAGATCCTACTAATTAGGGTACTATGCTAGGGTCCCCTATTTTCGGAAACTCTCACATGTGTGGACAAGCTGCACAGCAATGATGATACGAAATTGTGCTGCTGAAAAGGATGGGCTACCTCGGCTATGCTCAACACATGCACATGCACACGCACACCGCACACACGCACATAGACATATAGACACATACACGCACTTGGTTGCGTATGTATGCGCATACGCATACGTATGTACATGCCTATACATACATACATACATACATACATACATACATACGTACACACATACATACATACGGATGTAGGTAGGTATGCACGTAGGTGCATACACCCATGCACGCATACCCAGAAATGCATGTACATATGTCTGTGTATCTGCTTGTCTATCTCTCGACCTATACATCTGCCTATCTAGGTTCATACCAGGATATAGAGACACACGCAGATGACCAATGTTTGCATAGACATGCATGTACATGCGTGTCTCCATATACATGTCTGTATGTATATATACATATATATATATATACATATGCCGGATGTAAATAGACATATATATATATATATATATACACATTAAATTCGTGTGTGCATATTAATATGAGTATACATATACATACATATGTACATGTGTATATATATATATACCAGGCATGTGTGAACAACAACGAGTATGCAAGCACATTGACATGTGAAAGCGGTTGTACAGAGTACACAGAAGCACCGTGTGAAATGTATGTGTGTATGTGTGGATGTACGTCTTTATGAATGCACCGAGAAGCATCCACATTTCCGTGGCATTTGTAAAAAATTTTCCTAGCCCAGCGAAGTTACAGGCCAACCCGGTCAAAGCACCAGGACAGCGGGGCCTGAAGGCTTCAGCCTCTTCCGGCATCAGCCACATTGCCGCAGTTGCTGCAGCAGCAGACTCCTCGCCATATTGCAAACTGGCTATGATGAGACAGAGTGATACTGCACTGATGTGAGGCGCGACGCCACTGTGAAAACAGGAGGAGAAGAGTGTCACTCATCACAGTGCTAATAGCAAACAAACAAAAAAAGCAACAATAGCAACAACATCAATCACAAGCGTCATCATCATCATCGTCACCATCATCATCAGTGACCTTATCATCAACAATATCGCTAGAGCCCATCAAGCCGACAGAAAGACCGTCAATTGAAAACAGAACAACCCGGCAGCATGCTCCTAGAGCCGAAGATGCGTATGTTCCATGTTTATCCAAGTTGATTCTATATATATATATATATAGATATGTATATATATATGCAT